TATTATTACTCATACTTTGGATAGAGTATAAAGATGCTTAGGTACTCACTCACTTATATAAGAATTCTGAAAGAAAAGAAAAGAAAAGAAAAGAAAAGAAATCAAAAAGAAGAAATTGTGATATGTGTATACACTGTATGTATATGTATTGTGTATAGGTAATGGATAGGTGGTTCGTTCACCTTCCATCCATTATCCATCCATCCTCTCTTTCATAGTTCATATTATATATCTCATCCATATCTCATCCCATTTCCCTACTCGTAGATCAACCGACCCTTATCCCATATACATAATAATCATCATCATGAAAAAAAAAAAAAAATTGAAAGTAAAAATGCTCCAACCACGCCCCCTCCATTAACCAACCAATACAAGAAACCAATATACAAACCATCTCCCATCTCCTCTCCCCCCCGCCTCATCCCTAAACTAAACCCTCGCAGCCTCCACAACCACCGCCCCCACCATTCCCCCCAACTCCCCAAAAACCACCCCTTTAAAAATCGTCTCCCCCATCTCCTCCACCCACTGTCCCGCCTCCTTTAATTTCCTTTTCCAGCTTTCTCTTTGTGGCGCTGCCAATTCCTCCCATGATTTGCCCCCTTTATGAATTTGTTTATCGTGGACCACTGCTTTTATTGATGATGGGATTTCTGGCGATGTGATTCCCGAGGAGGTTTCTTGGTCGGGAATGAGGATGGCGGGTCCGTGGTGCAGGTAGATGTGAGGAGGAGGAGATCCCGGGGAGGAGGTACGGAGGGAGGCGAAGAAGTCGGGGGTAGAGGTGGGGTTTGATGAGGGGGTGGAGGTATGTGTATTGAGCGCATGGTAATTGGAGGGAAAGGTGTATGGTTTTCCAATCGCCTCTTGCAAGGGCACAGGTAGATAATTGGCAACGCCCAAATGTGGTTTCACAGCACCTCTAATTTCCAGTATACTCTGCATCAAGATTGCCGTCAACAGCGCTGCGAGGATAGAAACGATGATTCCAAGAGAGTAAATGGTTTTACTGGAAGGAAGAGCAACGACGTAACGAGGTGTGCGTGATTGACCTCTCTGTACAGATAGAGGAACCGGGAAAAGAGGGAGGGTGTGCACAATGACGGTATTGCTAATGCCGACACTAGCGAGTTTGAGGTATTGGGGAGGAGTGCTTGCAGTGACGGGATGGGTGGGTGGTGTGAAAGTTGAGAAGGCTATGCCTGTGATTTGGAGTGGGTGGACTTTCTTGAAAGTTCGAAAGGGTTTGATGGGTGTAACCAAATAGTTATTAACTTCATGCTGGAGATCAACCTTGAAGAGGGAAATAGAGATATCGTGACCGGCGACCGCGATAACGAACTGAGTGTAGCTCTGTTCTTCATCAGGAGTTACTGGCGGCGTAAGGTTACAGACTGCGAGTCCAGTAGCTTTCGTTATACTAGATGGGAGTCGATGCGATTGTGCAATTCTGCACTGTCCTTTCCCACTGGGTGGTAATCTGAGAATTTGTAATACCACTCCTCCTTGACTATGAATATTCGTGAGAATAATAATGAAGTCCTTCGTTAACCATCGTATCGATCGGAAAGAGGGTATCGTGACTTTCTCCCTGCTTCTTGAAGCCGGCGTAATATACACACACTCGGGTTCTGCCTCTTCGTCTATTGCGCCAAGCTTCTTAACATAGATATCGTGATCATCGGCATATGTGAAGAGATAATCACCTTTTCCGGTTTGTATGAAATCCATATCAACAGCCTCCTTCGCCAATTGTATGGCACCCTTAGAAATAGGTGGTCCGGTTTGTGCAGTTTGGAAAAGTGCTATTTCGGAATCCTTCGCAAGCCCCGTCGCAATCGCACCCCATTGTGGTTGTCCTGGATAGGGCCGTGATAATCGAGTGACCCTTTGGTATAAATCCTTTTCGACATGTGTAAATAAAGAAAATCTCGAAACCTCGGACAGTTGGTTCGTTGTCGCACCAGGTTCCGTAGTCTTCTCTTTTCCTTTCGTGACTGGCTGTATTCTAATTACTCGAAAATGCGCATTCTCCCCTCTGCCCAAATCCTGCGGACTAGAATTTACTCCTGCGAAAATAAAGGCTGCTTTTCCTTGACCCTGGCCAACTGCGAGACTGGTGACGTTATCTTCTTCTTTGCTGAGATCTATCTCGCCCGCTTCAATCAGCTCATTTGGGTTTGAAGTGTCCAAAAGTGTCTAGAGAATATGGGAATTAGTTCATATATAGACAGCGAAATTCCTCTCTCCAACAGACATATCCTCAAACTCACAATCTTATTTCCCACACCTGTCCTTCCAGCACCTCCACCCCCGCCAACCACCAATCTGGAGGAATCTACCGGATCGAAGTCACAAGCATATAGGGGATATGACAAGGTCGATTTCGCAGAAGAGATTAAGGGTGCCATCGTCTATACTTACTTGGCGAGGCTGTTCAAGATAACTTATGTAAAGAAATCTCTAGAGTTGTACAATGGAGCTGAGTTGAGTAGTGAGAACAAGGTTGATAATTGAGCTCACAAGGCTACGCTAGTCTACGCTAGTAAACAAGGCTAAATTTGGCCGAGGCTAGACTAATGAGAAATAGAACTAATTCCAGAAGCTTTCTAGAGGTCCAGATAGAGTTTAATACAGGATGGTGGATTTATATTGTTCTCTTTGAGATTTAAAATTTAAGGTTCTCCAGTTTTTATTTATTGAAGTTATCTCAACTTCCTTGTATAAAGCATCCTCGAGTTGTACTTGGTCTTTGAGCTATACAACAATACAATTACATCACATCACATTATATTCGGTATGATTACCTATACGTTCACCATACCATAATCACAGGTAACAGAAACCCAATTACTGAACTTTTATTTAATTTCTCACCAAATAATCTACCTGACGCCAATTATTGTTCCTCATGGCCATCTTCTTGATAAGCATATTCCTCATTTTGAGGCCTGCTTCCGAAAGATTCCAAGGATAGGTATCCACAAATCGGAAAAGTATCGAGAAGTTTAAACTAGGTAAAAGCAGAACTAGAGGTGTGCTCTTGTAGCCCGTCCTTTATATGCCTCTAGATATGCCATTGACATGCATCCACGATGTTTCAAATCTTAGGTATGTCAAGCAAAGAAAACAGAAAATGAAACTCCCAGAAACTCCGGGGATTCACGCTGTTGGTATAGGTACCACACAATATAACCATAATGTAGCCTGGGCTATGTCGCAAAATAAAATTAAAACCGCTTTAACTGCTTCCAAACAAGAGCTCAGAATGCCACCAAATACTCGCCCATCGTGAACGTTGTCATCATTAGCTCTCATCAATTTGTTGAATTGCGCTTATTTGGCGTTCTTGCGGAAGTGTAGAAGATTTGCCAAGCTCGCGGTATCGCAGCCATGCTTCAAGAAATCATGCATCAGCAATTCATCGGCAGATGCTCTGCTACGGATATCGACACAAAGACAGACAGACAAGAAAGCCTTGAGCTCTTTGCTGAGTTTCTCGGGTTTCTTGAGACGTGGTGTGCCATTGGTAGCAATCAGATATAGAGCCTTGAGGGGTTCCTCATTCAGATAAGGTGGTTCTGATTCGATCATCTCAATGGCCATGATACCAAGGGACCAGATATCAACCTTTGGACCATATTCCTTTTGCTTGACAACTTCAGGAGCCATCCAGTAAGGGGTACCCACCATAGTAGCACGCTTAGATTTAGATTCAGTAAGCTTGGCGCAGAATCCAAAATCAGCTGAAGATAAGTTAGTATAAAGATCAAATATACAACACTGAAAGAACCTACTGATCTTGACGTTACCGCGTGCATCAAGCAGAACATTGTCACTCTTGATATCACGATGGATAATCTTCTGTGCATGAAGATGCTCGAGTCCACGACAGGTCTATACAGAGTTAGTAAATATGCAAAGCACAAATTGTTAGTGAAACAAACCTCGAGGCAAATAGTCGAAATTTGGTCTTCGGTAATGTTTGAGTTGTTGTCAATGACATCGGTCAAGGCACCTCCCTCCATATACTCCATGACAACCCACAGCTCAGTATAGTTGTTTCGCAGGAAAGCATCAAGGAAATTGACAATGTTGCGATGTTTGCTATCCTTCATAACCATGATCTCATTTACAATCAACTCCTTTCTTGGCTGGTGTGCCAAATCCATTTGTTTAATAGCAACCTGGGCTTTGCTACCTTGTTGGCGCAGAACCTCACGTGCAACAGGGGATGCGGGATTCTCCTTCACCTTTGCAACATAGACAGAACCAGAAGCACCTTGACCAATCTTCTTCTGCTTGGAGTAGGAAAGATTGGGATCATCCTTGGACACAGCTTCTTTCAACTTTACCATGACTTCGCTCTCCGACATAGTTGACATGCGAACGTCTTTTGCGCGTTGTTGTTCAGAAGCTGCTGGCTTAGCAGTTAGAGCAGCTTCTGCAGCTTTGACCGCATCAGTCTGTTGAATACCATTGGCAGCTGGTTTTGGTGCAACATTGAGTGGCTTGACGTTATTGATTGGGCCAGGTAACCTCGATGGGGGTGGTGTTTGTTGTTGTTGTTGTTGAGAACCATTGGAAGCTTGGCCATTGGGATATCGAGGATCTTGTCTCTCCGATGGTGATCTATTCGATCCATTCTGGTCTCTGATTGAGGAAGAGCTCTGCTGGGTATTGAGAGGTGGTCTGGTTGGGCCACTTGCAGTAGGTGCAGATGGTGCTTGTCTTTGAGCAGGTCTTTGAGCAACAGTCTGTTGTCCTTGCTGTGGACGAGGAGCAGAAGGTGCCACCCGTGTGGGATTGTATCTGTCTTGGGCGGGACTGGTTGAATAGCTACCACCACCAATCTCCTGCTTAGCCATCGGGGTACGAGTTTGAGGAATTGATGCATTATAGGATTCCATATCAAGTCGGTTTTGTTCCGCCATCTCGAGTTCCCGCTGTCTCTGTGCCTCCAGTTGTATTTGTCTCTGCTCCTCACGAGCATCCGGACTAACATAGTTGGATGCCATTTGCTGCATCTGGATTCGTTGCTGACTTTGTTGCTGACTTTCCGGAGGTGTTGGTCGTCGAGGCTGTTGTTGCTGCTGCTGAGGAGATACATAACTGTTGTTTCGAGGCTGCTGCTGCTGCTGTTGGGGCTGAACAGGTCGGGGTGGTGCGATGGAGTTCCCTGGCACATAACCAAGTTGTTTGTTTGTGTTGAGAGCAGCAGGTGGTGTAGGGGTCAAACTCGAGAATTGCTGGGGATCCTGTTGACGCTTGGTAATGTCGGAGTAAAATTCCAAGACTTCGAAAACAGCTTGGGGATTTCTCTCATAATCTTCCTTGGTGATAGCGGAAGAGTTTAGCAATTTTGACCACTCTGCAGGCAATCCGACAAACTCTCCAGTCTTGGGATCGAAACCGACATGGACAGAATGGCTGAAGTTGGTAGGGTTGCTGACACCGCCCATACCCGGACAACGTGCATAGATGAAGTCGATCCATTCGTACAAGTCATCGTCCGTCTTCACTTTAATCTGAAGAGTTCTCCCAGTACTGTCATCGTCTCCGGGATTATTTGATGAGCCGTTCGAGGTTCTCCTAATCTCGAAGATGGTTCCAGCCGCTTCAACTCTCGAAACTCCAAGGACATCCTTGAGCACAATCTGATATGCCACTTTACCCCCCTCCGTCTTGTGGAAATCAAGGGCTTCTTTCCGAAGGATGAGCCACTTGTTTTTCCAAGGACTGATGAAGTTTTTGCCCTCCTTTACTGAGGCCCATCCTTCCTTGATGACTGCGACACCTCCTTGTCCATCCATATTGGTCTGCTGACGAGCAACCGGGAGAGAGACTGTCGAGCCGGAATAAGTTGAAGTGACAGTTCGGGTCATGGGAGAATTGATGCTCAACTGAGAAATGTTGGGAGCAGTCATATTTCCTGGCAGATTCACCGTTGTAGGTGTGTAATTAAGTCGAGGGCCAGCAGGAGGTCGAGGCGCAGGTCCAGGGTTCATAAATTGACCTGGCGTATAAATGCTGAGGATAACAATATTGATTAGTTTTATTCATATACATAAACACAAAGAAAAGTAAGTGAAGGATAATTGTTCACTGGTAGCGCCTCATATAAAGTCCCAGGAATGGCGAGTGAAGCGTGTCAAGGACCGAAACTCGGATATTCCTGCGCAATTTGTATTGTTCCAAGCAGGCGCTCTGTGCAGAAATGGAAGAAATGGGATACTGCATACCTATTTTGTGAAGCCATCTTGATGAAAATGCAGAATTACAACTTAAAGAACAATGTATGTATGATTCTGAAAGGGAAAAAGCAGTTTTAAACTACCGCGGGGTATGAGGGTATTGTTGAAAGAGATGACAAAAATGACTGTATTTACAATTATCAGCAATTATTCATTTCGGTCAAAAGAGTACAATCACATACAAAAGTAAAGTCTGCTCTTGAAGAGTTAAAATCCCAACCAATCTATCTCTTGCAGATGGTTGGAAATCCGAGAATGGTTCGAAGTCGAAGTCGCAAGGCAAGGGGGATCGAGATCAACAAAGACCAAGTCGCAGTCACACAACGTCCAGCGTCCCTTCTTGTAATATCGGAATATTCGTATTGTAATTGATCTTTCAGTATGTTATGAGAATTATGATTTTGTAGTATTATATTATCACAGTCGAGAAGACAAGTTAGTGGTGGCACCAATCAATGAGTTGAAGGTGATAGAAGATCGGCTTCGGCTGGTTTTAGGATCGAGTTTGTAGTAGCGCGCCTTTTGTTCAAGCGGTAACTTACAGGATGGTAACCACAGGACGCTAAGGAACCCCATGCCTCACCGTGCACCCTTTTAGGAGACCGGATCCCTTTCACTAAATTCACCAAGATTAATTAAGTCCAAGTTCATGGATGAATACTCTCCAGGATTTAGACCTTATAATTCACTAAGAAAGTTTCGTATATGAAAAGAAGGAGAGTGTTTTTATACTTACTAGGTAGTCCCAAAGATTACCTCTTTTTGAAGATTGAGATCACAGAAAGGTACTATATGTCTTAGTATGAAAAGGCTATTTTTACTCATATAAATAAATACACACAAACCCTCACAGGACTTTTTGTTTCTTCCTACCCGAACATCCTCTCCATCTTCTTAGCTAGTTCCTTTTAGCTCATTGGGGAGTCAGTCCCCAAGTCCCTAGAGGCTAACTAGAAGGAAAGAACTTTGACTCAGGGATTAGGGTTAGAACTACTTTAGATATATCTATTGGAAAAGTACGAGACCTTCTAGCAGCATCATAGTACCTAGGTAGTTCCAGTGCATCAAAGAGGTCCAATTAGTTGTCTATGCTCGTTCATTATTGTCTCATAGACAAGATTGTTTACCAGCAGTCAAGCCCCCTAAACATGAATTTGATGGACCCCCTTTAAAGAACACCACCCTCTTTCCCATAAATCAAATCCCAAGCTTCCAGCCCTTCCGAAGTTAAAATTCGAGCAGACGCTTTGGAAACTAATTTATGCATTGATCCCTTCAAAGCCCCCTCTAATCCCTCCCAGGCGCTACCCTACTAATCAAAATGAGCATCCTTTGTTTCATAATTTAGTGTGGCATTATTACCAGTGTATGTTTCCAAATCAACAGATCTTGTAACAGACTTCTCCTGACATAGTTTAGAAAGTTTCTTGGGTTATAGGTATTTTTAGTTTCGATGAAGTCAAATGTGTTCATGATCAATCTGGGACTGGAAAAAGATAGAATATGAATTCTACAGGGTAGGGTGTAAGGTTATGTTCCCCCCTTTTTAAAATGCTTCTTCTAATCACTATGGAACTTCTAGAAGCGAAAAGGAAGGATGGATGGATACTCACCCACGCACGCACTGACCACGAAATTGGACATGATCTATAGAGTATGATGATATTGTCAGAATGACTAATTTCTCAGATCAATTGGACATTTTCCTTTTCTCCTTTGGAAGATCTGGTTAGAAAGTTCATTAGATTTAAATAAATGTTATTTTTATCGATATCACATTCAATGTCAAATTGCCAGGACTCTTCAAGGATGAACCTAGAGAAGTTCACGACACACAAGATCTCCACATTCCTGTCTGATAACATGTGATAAAAATTTCGCGAAATCTGAACATTTCTATATCTTAACGAACAAGGAGCTCAACCTCTTGACCCTCGAAGATTGGCAGTTCTTTCTCGATATCTGCCCAGACCTTGGTGCCGTCGACCAACTCTTTAATAGCCACAAGAATCTTTTCCTCGGGTGCTCGGACTTGTTTGGTGGAATCTCTATCTCTCAAAGTGAATGTACTATCGTTGACACTTTGGAAGTCAACCGTGATACCAAGAGGAGTACCAAGTTCATCGTTTCGACTATAACGCTTACCAATAGACGCCGAAGAATCATCAATACGGCTAGAGACACCCATAGATCGAAGTTTATGTGAGATTTGCTTCAGGAAAGGTTTGAAACTCTCGTGAGAAGAGAGAGGGACGAGCAGTACTTTAGTGGGCGCAACAATTGGTGGAAAGGAAAGAACCTGTATTTTGTCAGCCATTGTAGATGCATAAGAATGAACAATCACTTACACCGCGTGCTTCATCGCCACCATCACTGCCACGAGTCCAGTAGTTGTGCTCCATCAAGGCGTACAAGATTCTACCAATACCAAATGAAGGTTCAATTACATTTGGAGTGTATTCTCTCGTGTTTTCAACCCGGGTTCTGCGTTCAATCTTGATGAGATCGTCACCAACTTCGGCCTTACCGTCAGCGATTCCATCGACCTCAACAACGATCTTTCCATTGTCCTTGAGTTCTTGTGCAAGGGTCTCTCGCTTTTCTTGCGACAGAGCCTCGATAGCAGTCTCAACTGCCTTACCATCCTTCTTGAATTTGGGACCAAACTTCTTCTTTTCGAGATCAATTTGCCATTCCTCGATACTGATTGGAGTATCTAGTCTTTGACGGACCATTAATGGGGCACCAGTCTTCTTTGCGTGCACGCTGAGATCATAAGCGCTTCTATCTGCACAGCCAACACACTCCACCCACCCAGAGCTAGTATGTAATTCAGCATCCCAGCAATCTGCAGCATAATGGGCCATTTCGTTGGCCATGTGCTGTCTGAACCTTACTTTAGATTGATCTACACCAATTTTGGCCAGGAAGAGTTGAATGCGTGCCAAAAAGTAGCCAAGAGTCTCATTATCGACAGTGCCATTTGCAACAGCCTTGCCGATAGACATCTTCTCAACATCGGTTTTACCAGCCAATTGAGTATGACGATTCAATAAAACAAGCTCGACATCTTTGACATCGTTGAAGCGGTCGTGTTTCTTGCCACCTTCAGGGTCGACGAAATGCTCAATCTCAGCCATCAAGAATTCTCGAACTCTCAATAAACCACCACGAGGAGAGATTTCGTTTCTGTAAGACTTGCCGATAGAAGCCGAAGCAAATGGCATTTGCTGTTGGTTGTACTCGAGAAGCTTGGCGAAGTTAACGAATTGGCCTTGAGCAGTTTCCGGTCGTAAATAACCTGGTGTGTTACTGCTTGGGCCAATCGAAGTCTGGAACATGAGATTGAAGGCTACTGGCGCGGAAGGCTCCATACCAGTCTCTGGGTTCTTCATATCGTACTTTTTGATCAATTGACCGAGCTCTTCGCCGTTGTAGTTATCAATCTAAAAAGTCAACATTCATGCTCGTCATAAAACTTGAGTGACCGTACCTTAGCCAAGATTTCCCCGTATTCCTGAACAACTGCATCATCGAGTTTCACAGCTTCAATTCCCTTGGTCTTCTTCTTCTTTTTCTTTTTTGATGGGTCCTCTTCTTCTTCCACAATCTTGACACCTCTAGCCTCTTTGTCACCTCTTAATCTCGACTCTAGTATATCTTCAACGAAATGGTCCGCTCGTAAAATATCGCCGTTCTTAGGGTCCTTGCACATCCAATCTGCAAACTTGTCCACATGGCCACTGGTTTGAAGAACTTCAGCTGGAGTCAATGCCGTGCAATCTAATTCCAACATATCTTCCTCCAAGACAAAATGCTTGCGCCATAAGTCGATAACGTTTGCCTGTAGAGCGCACCCGGGAGGGCCATAATCATACTACATTGGGAAAGTTAGTAATTGCCTATCATGAAAAGCTTCGAGGGTAAAAATAGGAAGTGAATAGGATGCAGAATACGAGACAATCAAAAAGACTTGGATATTGGCGAGTAAGACATGAATGGAGGGGGGGTTTGATTATGCTTACTAGACCAGCGATTCCATTGTAGATTTCGAAAGAAGGGGTATAGAACATGCGCCGCCTCAACATGGAATCGAGCACCTGGCGATCAAGGGGTTGACCCTTGAGGGTGGTAGTAGTCGACATTCTATTGTCTTTCGTCTTTTTCGGTATTTGGTATTTATGGTGGGGTGTTGTAGCTGTAAAGGTTCGAAACGTCAGTTGTGAACCCAATTTCTGTTTGACAAGAATATCTCTTGTAAGGCTGCAAAGAGATCTCATTCACCTAAGACTCATCCAATAGAAAGGGTATGAGTCAAAGAAAGTCTGGGGAACTTTTCAAGCTTTGAGATTGATTTATGAAAGTCGTGGGGGGAATTTCTTTTCGTGTGACTCGTCGCGAGGGGAAGGGAACAGCCTTGTGGTACGTGCATCAATCGGAAGATGCGGCCGCATTCCGATATGCTGCTAAAATAATTTTTGGATTTCCTTTCTTGGATTTTTCCAGACCTGCTCTTATTGCTAAATCAAAAAATTCATACGCAATGGGATCCAAACGAGTGCATCCAGCCTCTTCAAAGGCAGCATTACCCTTCAAGACCGGTAATAAATTCAAGAGACAAGATCTTCATATCAAACAGAAGAAGGCTCGCGATAACGATCGCAGAGACATACGCTTCAAACGAAAGAGGGAAGAAGATAAAGATCCAGAGCTGAGAAGACAGCGATTAGCAAAGCACATTCCACATACAATTGATAATAAGCGTGTTTGGGACGAAGTATCAGGTGATGGAAATGACCTCGGCATCAGTGTGGATGTCGAGCAATTGAAGAGAAGGCGCATAGAAGAGGCCGAGGCCGCAGAGCAAGAACCTCTGGACGAAGCACCCGAGGAAAAGGATGACGATGTCGACAGTATGTTGGATTCGGATTCGGAGAAAGGCTCGGATGATGAGGATGACGAAGAATCCCAAAGTCGACCCCGAGCAGTGAGCAATGCGCCTTCAACGACCAGCACAAACCTCGACCTCACACCATCTTCCCTATCTCTCAAATTTCCTACACTCTTCACGGACGAACCTCCGCCAGCCCCAAAAATTCTTCTCACAACCTCCTTGAACTCTACACTGCATGCAGAAGCTCATTTGTTATGTACTCTCTTTCCAAACAGTAACTATGTTCCTCGCTCAGCCCACAGATACGGACACAAATATTCCCTTAGAGAAATCTGCAAGTTTGCTGCGAATCGCGAATACACGTCCGTCGTTATGCTTAAAGAGGATGCCAAGGTTCCTACAGGTTTGACCATCGTACATCTACCATCTGGTCCTACATGTCATTTCTCGATCAAGAATTGGGTTGAAGGGAAGAAATTGCCCGGTCATGGTAATCCAACAAATCACTACCCAGAACTTATTTTGAACAACTTCCGCACACCTTTGGGATTGTTGACTGCAAGATTATTCTTGACGCTATTTCCACCACAGCCAGAGTTACAGGGTAGGCAAGTGGTTACGTTGCATAATCAGCGTGATTATATATTCGTGCGAAGACATCGATATGTATTCAGAGATAAGCGCGAAACAGAAAAGAGCGTAGTAGGACCGGATGGAAAGATTGTGGAAGGTGTAGAAGGCATCAGGGCTGGATTGCAGGAGCTAGGGCCAAGATTTACGTTGAAGTTGAGAAGAGTTGACAAGGGAATTGGTAGAGCAGGGAGTGAAGGCGATGATGCAATTCAATGGCAATGGAAGGCTGGAATGGAAAAGGAAAGAACAAGATTCAATCTTTAGTTTTGTTGGTATTTTGCTATACTCTCTATACATACATAATTTGACTTTTGATACCCTCACACATGCAATGATTTCTCGAGTCTATTGTAAAAGACAGACCCCTCAAAATCCGGAAAAAGCACCGTAGCACCTGTTCTCCCCACTCATTTACTTCATGTCGAGTCTTTCCAATGTCCCAATTGCTCTGGAATCAGCAAAATCGCTAGCACCGCAATTCCAACACCTCACACCTTACAGTTAGAATAACTACTCAAACCACTCCCCTTCATCCAACTCGCCAACTTCTCCAAAGCCACAGGAGCAATGTCCCTATTAGTCTTCATAAAAATCGTCTCAAACGGATGTAAATTGATCCCAAAATAACCCCCTTCATACAAAACATCTCCAGTCCTCGTCGAATCACAAAACCTCTCATAGTCACTTGTCAAGTCAGAGGGCTTCCCCTGCTTCTGGGCCAAGTGTCCTTCTGAACCATCGTGATGATGTAGATGGTGATCCCCTGATTCCACGCCAGTAACTCCATGATTGCCTTCTTGATTTCCTTCTTGATTGTCTTTATGGCCCACTCCATGGAAAGCACTCATCATAGCTTCGACACCGTATCCAGCCGCGCGCATTAGGGCCGTAACGCCGATTTCCGCATTGATAGCACCGTTGAAGGTACGGAAACAGCTGTTGATGCCCGGAGGATGGATTTCCGAACGATTGAATTCGCCTTTGATGGCGTACATGGGCGCAGGCGGCAATCTCGTAAGCACATCGTGGGATGGGAAAAGGAGGGTTTCAATGCCAAGGCGATCGGTGGCCCAGATCATGGATTGGATATGGAATTCTGGCTTACAGTTTGCGGTCATGCCGATGAGTTTGGTGGTGGATGTTATTCTTAAGAGATAGAGTGAGGACCAACAGGATTGGGACCATGAGGGGAGAAAGGGTCCGCGGAGACTGGCGTTTAGCATGATGAATTTTTGGTACCTTTTGTAAAGATCGGCTTTGATTAAGACTTCGGCGTATGAACCTAGATCGAAACAGTCGTTTGGTCGGTGGATGTGGTTGATGTTGTCCTTTTGGGGAATGATCTTGTAGACATCTGTCTCGCCGTTCAAAATAAATGTGAAATCCGCTGCATCATGGAGACCATGGTCTATAAAATATTGGATATTGATTCGTGCTTCAGGAGACTCTGAGAATGCGTATAGAATGAGTGGTCGTTCACTAGAGGACTGGCTGACTGCCGGGATAGTCACATTTTCTGGTTGTTCGTTTGCGAGAAAGGGATTTTGTCTGTCATTGTCGCAAACATCCGGACGAACTGAGTACTCCTGGAGCTTTCTTAGATAAATCTTATTGAAATAAGAACCTATTGACTTACGCTGATGGTAATTCTAGACGGTATCTCACGAAACCATATAGACAAGCAAAAGAATAAGGCACAAATGGTAGCTATCCAAGGTAACTTTGATGATGCAATAGCATACATCATCATTGCTCGGATGCAAATTGAACAACTAAACAATCAAGAGAGATTGGAAGGGTGCGAAACACGAGGCTGCGCAAGCAGGAGACTTGAGTTTTACAGATAGGGTGGTGCGCTTGCAGCTTTCCTCGAATTCTTCGCAATGCCTGGCAACTTGGCACCGCGACAGGAATATAGGAGAATTATCGAATGTTGCGGCGAGTGCCTGGCATGTTTACGATGCTGTTTGAGTGCGATAAGCTTAGCTCCCCAAATATGTCAAGAATTTTATTGATTTCGTGTTTCTCCCCTCGGCATCGCAATAGGGCAATAGGGGACAACCATCACTCGTTGGTGAATTTAGCGGTGGTCTGTGGAATAGCTCATCAACGACCTGGTTGCACTACAACCTTCCCGAGAGCTTTCAAAATTGGGAGGTATATTGCAAAAGCGAGACACCCTTTTAATTGATCACCAAATATTTATCGATGAATGGTTGGTAAACATGCCGTTTTGACAACGCTCGATGAGATGAGAGTATATTGGGATGCCGTTCTCGTTAGTAACATTGAAAGTTCCTCTCCCAATCGGTAATAACCTCATTGTGCGAATCTCAACCTGGATGTAGAATATCAGAGATCTTTTCATCTCGTTCTCCAAATACTCAATGAACTGGGTAGACCTTTAAAATTCGCAAGTTCAATATACCGGTACATGGAGAGATATGATATAACTCGAGTAGTCTCGAAAAGGTGGGGCGATGTTTGCACTTGGCAACACCTTACCTAAACTAGCTGACTCTTCACTATCGACTCAACATCGATATCAAGTTATCGACTCAACATCGATATCAAGTTATCAACACGACAAATAACTTCGCCGTTATCATACTTTCACTGATAAAGCTCGCGGTGAGCAGGTCAATATCATGATAACCAATTCGCGGGGTAGCCAGTTGTTACCCATACTGTCGAATGAGAGCTCAGCGTTTGTTGTCATCACTGCATACACTTACTCTTTTGGGTTTCTAAGTGGAGGTCTTTAGATATCGCTGAATTGTCTCATATCGATATGATCAGCGGCCTTGATATGCTTCGTTCTGCACGTCCGCCATATCCTCTTATAAAGTACTCGAGTATACGGTGTAGAGTTCAATTCAATTTTACCTGGCCAAAGCATTTGTTACTATCTACGGTCGTCTATCAACGAAATCCGTTCGTTAATAGCTTTATCCGAATAGCTGCTTTTTACTGTCCATTCTGTGGTGTATTTCTTTGTGCTTTGTTTCATGATGGAGGGCTCCGACCATCTGCATAATCACCTGGATACACGAGCGATTCCAGGAACCATTCACTTGGTTGATCTCGAAGGTGTAATGCGAGAGCGGCATGCATCTGCATCTCGATTACAGGATGTTGTTCTTGTTCCATCACCATCTCGTGACCCTGATGATCCGCTGAATTGGACACCAAAACGAAAGATGTTATCAACAGCATGCATGTCCATGTATACTCTGATGGTTGGGATAGCATCTGCTGCCATTTACAGTGTGCTAGAACCCATAAGTCAGGACACTGGCTTAACAATTGATCAGTTGAACGCTGGAACGGGTTACATGTTTTTGTTCTTCGGGGTAAGTAACACTGTCACGCATTTTTGTCAATTGAGTATCATATGATTGCGGTCATGTCATAGAGCAATGTGGACCTCAGGATGGTTGGGGAAGCTTAGCGGCACAATCATGTATATTCTACAATAAAGCAAGCGCTATCTTTTCTATCCTTCAGCATACGGTCAATTCCTTGGGATAAATGCCCATTTGCAACACTATCTTCAATATCTGAGATCTTCTGCCGCTAATATTATGCCTCGAGTCTAGTGGGGGACTTTAATCGCCCAGCCCATAGCACTGCAGTACGGCAAAAGGCCAGTGTATCTATTCTCCATGCTGGCAACCCTTGGGTCAGTAAACGCCTTACCAGTTGCATATTTTTTAGTGCTAACAGAATCAGTACTATGTTATGGGTACCGCACGCCACAACAAACTCAGCATGGATTGGGGGCAAGATTTTGCAGGGAGCAGTGGGTGCCCCTGTCGAATCTCTATGTGAAATCTCAATCACAGATATTTACTTTGCCCATGAAAGAGGCGCTTACATGGGATTATATGCTTTTATGCTGCTTGGAAGTAGCTTTTTGGCTCCAGTCCTTGTGAGTTATCATGGAGAATCAAAGATATCCTTTTTGCTTACAATTGTGTAGGCTGGCTTCATAAATGACGGACAAGGGTGGAGATGGGTGATGTATTGGTGTGCTATCTTTCTAGCCGTTGGATTTGTCTTCTGCTTCTTCCTTATGGAGGAGACAAACTACGATAGAGCACCCCTGAAAACAACAACATCTCAAGCCAACACGCCTGGAATAACCACACCAAAGGAAGAGATGTCCCAAGAAAAAGGCACCTCTCCTGCGACACCACTCGATCCCGAAAAAGGTGCATCCATTGACATTCCAAGTGCAGTAACTGAGATCACTGAGCTTGAGACTATTCATCACAAGCCGAAGACATATCTCCAAAAATTGGCCCTGAAGGATAAGAAGAGAGATTTCCCTCTCTTCCGAATGATGATGCGGCCTCTGATTTTTATGTCTCTTCCATCAATTGCTTACGCCGGATTCTCGTATGGTAGTAATTTGATCTGGTTCAATGTCCTCAATGGGACTGCCTCGTTGATCTTAAGTGCTCCGCCATATAACTTCTCTTCTTCCATGGTTGGCTTATCGTATGTATCGCCGTTACTCGGTGTAGCCTGTGCGTCGTTCTATTCTGGAGTTATTGGGGATAGAATTGTATTGTGGCTCGCGCGCCGCAATAAAGGAGTCTTGGAAGCAGAACATCGACTTTGGCTATTCTCAGTATCCATAATTTTCATTCCTGGCTCTTTACTCCTCTGGGGCGTCGGAGCAGCTCATCATGTACATTGGTTCGGCCTGATAGTTGCCATGTTCCTGATCGCTGGCTCAAACTGTATTGGTACTCAACTCTCTGTCTCGTACTGTATTGATTCTTACAAAGACTTAAGTGGAGAAGCGATGGGTATGTCCTTTCTCCTGTTCTTCGAGTTGCATTCACATAACACAGGCTAATTACTTTTATAGCTACTGTGATCATTATACGAAATACCATGAGTTTTGCGATGGGCTACGGAATCACGCCTTGGGTTACAAATATGGGATATCAAAATGCTTTCATTGTGGCGGCTTTTGCTGGTCTTGCTCAAGTCCTGACCTTCTTTGCAGTGGTGAAATGGGGCAAGAGCTGGAGAAATAATACAAAGGGGAGATACTACAAATACGTGGAGGAAAACGAGAAGCTGGGAGTCACGCACTAGTAGAGTAAATATCGGGAGGCGAGGAATCCTCCACGAAGTCTAAGGGACCCCCACCTGCCACGTTCTCAAAATTCTGGATTCGATGACCTCGAAAGACGTGTTCCAATGGAAGTATTGGGCGCATTATATCTCTCGCAGTACCCGACTCAAATCATACATAGAAATATAACTTATTCGTTTCGTCTTTTGTCATTTGAACAATGATCTGACTGTCACTTGAAGACTCAAACATTATCGTCCGGTCGTCATGGACTGACTGGTCAGCAGTATAGGACTCTCAAAGCTTGATTTGAATCCGGACCTACAAAAGACGTCGCGTCGAGAGATACACCACATGATAGCGTGTTGCATTTCGGGATCTCAGATCTATGGTTCTTATATTAATATCAATATAAAGCGCTGAGATTCGTCCGAACTTCAGCTCCAATTCCGTCGCACAAGGCCGTACTGCAGGATATTGGGACGGATCTCGGGAAGAAACGAGATTTCTATTATTAGTGTCAGTAACCTTACAGTGTCGGAAGAATGGAAATTTAGCTTGGGATGGCTGAATATATCTGTTTCATTATCAATAAAGGAGATTTGTTTGATAATGCTACGGAGTAGAGAGCATTGCTATGTGATTTTGATTAGAATGTCTTTTGTTTGCTCATTATAATAACTGGGTAGTTAGTTGTCTGTGAATACGAGATACAATGAACACATTCTATTGAATTGCTCCACAACATATCTTCTGATGAAGGGAGCGAAAAGTGCATAATGCCAAGCTTAAAACTTACAGTACAGTACTTGCCAATGTTGCCATGCTTGCTCACCCACGAAACGATTTGCTTTTTTTGATGGCTCACATTTCAATTTCCACTTCGGTTCCCACCACTTCCACTACTACTGTACTATTCATGAAAAGGAGTCTCTCGTATAACTTCTAACTTCAATTCAACAAAAAAGAAAGTAGGAATGTTGATCTGAAAAAGGGGATGGTAAACTTGTGATCAAAATCAAAAGCCACGTATAATAAGGCGGCCACAAAATCGTTTCTTTTGCATGGCAATCATGATTGGCACCACGAAGTCGGAAGATCCCCTTCATTCGAAATTTTCCGATAGTTACTACTTGTAATAGTTACTTGTACTATACTCGTCGTAGTACTACACCAGCTCCCAAGGATACAAGCAAGTCGTTCAAAAGATTTCTATTAAGAAAATTAAACATATTCGAGAATTATTCCCGTGCTTTTCCTGCTATCAGCCAGGTTCTAGGAATCTTTCTACCCCACTTCTACCCCTTCCACTCTCCAGCTCATTAATATTATTGTGACCGTACCGGTACATTGATACTTGGACCTGCGCTTTTGCTGTATGAAATATACAAATACATCGTCCCATTCGTCTCATTTAGTGATGAGATGGCTGCACAGATCCTGCATCCTTGTTGTGCATCATTAGTAGGATGCATAATGTATCCATACTTGGCTTTATAGTTGCATTCCTAAACTTTTGACCCCGGAAATTTAGTATATTCTTTTTACATCTTTCCCTGTTCGTTGTCGCTGCATATCAGGTCAGGTTGTCTCTGTTCTTGGGTGTTTAATTAGAAGTCTTTCGTCCCACTTTGGAAACTACTTCACTCTCTCAATCGATTTTATATCCTCCACAAGTCGCTTCATCTTTTGTGTGCAGGCAGTCCTTCTTTTACCACCAGCTTGATAAAATATCAGCTAAGTGCAAAGTTTGATCTTGTGTTTATCACTTCAGTGTATGATTTTGCGACAAACTCATATCTTGTTCAAGTAATTGCACCTCACACTCGTTCAACATACTTTTAACATGAAGTCCGTGACACTCCTCGCCACCGTGGCATTGGCCTCGTTGTCGAGTGCGCATGCAGGACCTGCCATGCCAAAGTTGATGGGTGGAAGAGAGTTCCTTCAAAAAATCAAAGGTCGCAATGCTCTGCCAGCTTCAATCGCTACCCCTGTGCATGTGGAAGAACGAACGCCTGGGGTTGGCCTGAGAGCCGACAACCCAAATACTTGCGGTCCAGGTGTTGGCAGTTGTGTAAATGCCTGCTGCTCTCCAGAAGGGTGATTGATTTTCCTTTGACTCGAAAGATCTCAGCTAATGGAATCAGATACTGCGGTACCACAGCAGACTATTGCGCGGCTCCAGATTGCCAGTTCAAATATGGACCTCTCTGTGATACACTCCAAGCTCCAGCTGGTGCTTCGACAGCAAATATTGCTCGTCCCCATATCGGTGCCGTTCCATATGGAGGAGCTGGTATTTACGATTGCCAAGTTGCCGGAGGTTTGTTTCTCTGGAATCTCTTGGGATGTTAAGTAAAAGCTAACTTGCCTACCCCAACAGATATTGCTTTTACCTTTGATGACGGACCTTATCTTTATACTAATGACCTTCTTGACAAGCTTGCAGCTTATGGAGCTAAAGCTACCTTCATGATCACCGGCAATAACCTCGGGAAAGGTGCAATTGATACCACTGCAAAGTATGTTACTATCATCAAACGCATGATTGCCGAAGGACATCAAATCGCATCTCACACCTGGGGTCACCAAAACCTGACGTCTCTTGATCCAACAACATTCAAAAACCAAATGATCTTCAACGAGATGGCATTTAGAAACATTCTCGGATATTTCCCAACGTATATGAGACCCCCTTATTCCGAGTGCAATGCCACCTGTGGTGATCTTATGGCAGACTTGGGATATCATGTGACCTATTTCGATTTGGATACTGCGGGGTATCTGAATGATGCTACAACTCTCATTCAGAACTCCAAGAACATTTGGGATGCAGCTATTGCCACCGCTAATTCTGCTACGGGCAATTTCCTGGAAATCGAGCATGACATCCATTATCAAACCGTCTATAACCTTACTGACTACATCCTCGCATCAATGTACTCTCATGGATTCAAGTCCGTTACCGTTGGCGATTGTCTCGGTGATCCGTCCGCGAATTGGTACAGAAGCGGAAATGCTAGCGCCCCTGTTCCTACACCAAGCCAGCAGGTTTCCGATGACGGTTCCTGCAATGCAGCTATCACCTGTCTCGGTTCTGTCTATGGAAACTGCTGCTCTATAAACGGATATTGCGGATCTACCGATGCCTACTGCGGTACAGGCTGCCAACCCGGTAGCGGCTCTTGTTCTGGTTCATCTTCGACTACAATCTATACCAGCACTACTAAAACATCAACTTCTGCGCAACCAACCAGCACGCAAAAGGTTTCTGCAGATGGAAGCTGCTCAGGCTCTATTACTTGTATTGGATCAAGCTTTGGTAACTGCTGCTCGCAACATGGATGTAAGAAATTTACCCCCACTATCATATCTCCTCATTGACTAACACGAACTTAAATTAGACTGTGGAAGCACTACCAATTACTGCGGTATCGGATGTCAATCCATCGCCGGAACATGCTCAGTATCCGGTGCCTCCACCGCCAAATCTACCACCACATCCACGACATCCACCGCCGTTGCTACTTCGACTTTAGAAGTTAGTATTGATGGATCATGTGGTGGTACTACGAAGGAAACGTGCCAGGGAAGTAGTTACGGTAACTGCTGTAGTCAGCATGGATATTGTGGAAGTACTGCTGATTATTGTACTACTGGATGCCAACAGGGTTTTGGCTCTTGTAATTGAGGGGTGTAATGCGGGTAAAAGTATGGGGTTGGAGTTGGAGTTGGAGTTGGAGTTGGAAAAGTTACTTTCGTTGTGGATGTATATATATTACAGAGAGGTTAGAGATAATGTTTATGACTAAAATATAATGAGCATTAGAAAGGTAAACAAAATTAAATAAGAAATTAGAAATTGTGAGATCAAATGTGATCTTCCAGTATTCCTGTGGAGCTCCCGGTGAGCCCAATTTTCTACCTCAATCCGGTGAGCTTTATAGCTTCATTTCAACCATCAAGATGTTCAGACTCATCATCGTGACAGGAGATCCGAGTTCTACACTCTCTCCGAAACAAACATCGATTTATGTAGATTTACACTTGATAGAAACGTCTCATGTGGGGAATACAACTCAAGCTATCAGCGACTAAACCCACACCCTTAAAATTCTAAACTCAGAGAACTTCATCTAGCGCCAATAACAAGTAGGTAAGACTCTACTACATACACCCCATCATTCACTCAACCCCGCTCTGAAAGGCTCGAATAAAAAACAACCCCTCCTCAATATCACAACTCCAAAGCCCCTTGTCATCCCTCAATACTTATTATTCTCTCTCTTCACAACTGCTACTTATCTTATCAATACACTACCCTACACTCCACCTCACATACAAACCACGCAAACATCTTTCTCCGAACAAGCACCCGCGAATATGACAACCCAAACACCAGACTCCCAGATTAATCACGCGGATGCTATTGAATAGTGAGTATCAATCACGGTCCACCTGCTCCCAGAGATTTTGGATATGAAAATGTGCATTGTACAAGATGAATAGTAGAGGGAAACAGAACTAATACAATCACAAAATGTAGTTGGGAAAACATAGAAGCAAGTGATGATGGTATGTTAGGGGGTTTTCCGTATATCAGTCGGGTGGATATACAGGGGTCGAGGAATTTTCTGGGGAAATTGGGGGTTAAGGGGGGGAAAGTGAGGAGGGCGGTGGATTGTGGTGCAGGGTGAGTTGATTTTTTGGGGTTCGCTTTTTCTTATTGGGGGTGTGATTGTGGTTTTGAGGGGGCGTGGGTGGGTGGTTGTGTGGTGCTGCTTTGGCTTTGGCTGCTGGGTGAAGGCTCTTTGTTGATTGGGAGTGAGGATCGAAGATTGAAAGTTCAGGGCAAGCGTACGAGTGTACAGAAAGTATGAAAGCTTTCATATTGGTCTTTGGGTTTGAATCATGATTGGAAATGGCCCTTGGTGCAATGGTCTTGGTCAAGCTTGATTTGCAGTTAAGCGCTGGCTATCCAATCCCGTTCATCAGAATTGTTGCACTGCGTATCCCAAGAAGACTGATATCATGAGTGGAAGACCCAAGCTTATTTCTTAGGCTGAGGGAATGACTTTCGGTCATAAAGCTAAGAAAGTTTGTCAACTAAACATATTTCCAGGATTGGTCGAATTACGAAAGCACTACTTCTCAGTATTGCTACAACCGTGGACATTGTAGAACCAGTAACAAAGTTCTCTTCCGCGCTCGTGGATCACCCAGGAGTCGGCCAAATATATCCCGTTGGTCTTGAAGCATGGACACCAGATCCGGAAACCCAATACGACTTGATATGGAACCAGTGGTGTCTAGGTCATTTGACAGACTCTCAATTAGTGGAATATTTTCAAAAATGCGCCAACATGTTGAGTGAAGAGGGTTGGATCATAGTCAAGGAAAATATGAGCACCCACGATGGCGGTGATATGTTCGACGATGTTGACAGCAGTGTCACGAGGTGTGTAAATTCATAAGTAGTGGAAAGATCGAGCTTACATAAAATATTAGGACTGATGAGAAGTTCCGCGAACTCTTCGAAAAAGCTGGCTTGAAATTATTTAAGACGGAACTGGCGAAGGGTTTCCCAAAGGGTTTGTACCCTGTGAGGTTATATGCGTTGAAACCGGAATGAACTTCAAGTATCGATACCGCAACATCCACAAAATACTAAAGCCCGTCGTTTATAACCCGCAACATTAAAGTGGTACCAGTCCAGTTACTTCAAAACTACATTTGGCCTAAAGAGATGGATATGCCTGTACCAAAATGGTCTATTTAGGGATACAAAATTTAAAAAGTGCAGTTAAGACTTCACTCTCCAGAAGGCTGGATTAAATGTAATCTGATCAAACGCAGTTGAACATAGGCAATATTATATATATTATTCCCATGTAAATCAGGTCTAGTCGAGATCAGTGAGTGAGTGAGCTGCGGATGTGATGTGATGTGATTATACTTTTGCAAAAGACGTGACCGAATGGCCTAAAGCCAATCCAATGAAACTTTGATCTCAATTTGAAAGGTACGTCACTCAATAGGTCCTTGCAATCCACGAACTTCGTCGATATTTCTTCAAGGAATAGGAATAGGAATAGGGAGAGCAACTCATTTGGAGTTTTTGGAGTAAGGTTACTTTGTACGTACGTGATATCCCCACTTCTCTCTTTCATTCATATTCATATTCACATTCACAGTGCTTCCTCATCATTACGATTCACGATCGATACACGATAGATAGCATTATACACTCATTTCCCATTTTGTTTTGTGTTTCTCATATCTCACTATTACACATCACGTTCCCTCACACACACATATCAGAATCGGCGCTGTACTGCAAGTCTGTAATGTATACAGTCTGCAATGTAAGTCTGCAAGTCTGCAAATTCTATCCTCGGACGGACCTACCTCGAGCTAAAGATCCCTAATAATTATTACTATCACTAAGCGATATGTGTGTGCTTGCTCATCTTATCTCATCGCGTTCAAAAGTTGTCATTAGGTTACTGTACTCGTAGCACCTAATGGCTAATATTCGTATAATTAGTATTATTTATATATGCGTGAGTGAGTGGGTGAGTGAGTGAACAACTTCGTGGCTTTCTTGGAAAGAGGAGAGGGAAAGAGTTATAGTGAGATTATTGTTATAGTGGGTGTTCTATGCTATGGGTCTGGACTTTGGCGGGAATGAAGACTGATTGATTGACTGACTAACTGACTGACTGGGGTACGATTTAAAAACCTGCGTTCTTGAATTCGAATGTTGGTTGAGTGTGAGTGAGATTATATAATTTGTATACTAGCGTTGATGGTGTAATAGGGTTGCTTTTTATGGTTTATGGTGTATGGCGTATGGCTTATGGGTATGCGTATGCGTATTATGTACAGTAGGCTGTAGCTGGCTGTGCGAGGAGTAGAGAGAAGGAGAAGGTTAAGGTTGTTGGGGTAACTTGGGTTGGTTGGGTTGGGTTTGCCTGAGAGTTACTGGTTGCTGGTTTTTGGATAGTTGGGGTTGCTGTTTGTGTAAAGTGAGTTGTATGTTCTCGTGTCTTGGTTTATCTGTTTGGTGTTGTTGTTGTTGTTGTTGTTCTTTGAATTATTCTCAAGAGGTCAGTGGTCACGCATTGAAATCTTTTGTGCAGTGGGCGTATTTTGAGAGCATGCAATTATTATCGAAAAGTCAGATATTAAAATGCTCCATGGAGTAGGTGTGTCTTGAGGTGGTACATAGAAATCCAGTCATATCCTAATCTTTATCCTGACCCAAAGCAAGTTCAGGATTAAGCTATTCATTATGAACTAGCTACTATATCAAACGAAAGACTATCGAAGCGAAAGATGCCAAATGACAGTGGCGCTGCGAAGAAATTCAAGTTAACTGGGGGTTGGGGAATAGAAATGCCCGGAACTAATACAAAAACCACTTATCACAAACATATGAGCATATGTTCAGAGCATCCTAGCACAAAAATGGCAAAAGAGTCACAGAAATACTCGAGTATTTGGAAGAGATATCCAAGTCAGCAAATCTGGTGAAGGTTCATCAGAAACTTCGAATGTCTACAGCTAGTCGAACTGTCGGAAAAAGAAGAGAATACTACAAAGACTCAAGAGCAGAAAAGAAGGGACACGATGTAGCAATATTCTCGACTGTTTTATGGATATGTATGTATGCGTCATTCGAATTTTGAAGCTGTTTTTGAAGTGGAGTTGGGGAAATTCTTATCTTATGAGGAGATATGAATTTTGGGGAGTGAAGGGAAGGGGTGGAAGGGAATACTGATGGATGGTGTTGATGGAATGATGGGATTGGATGGGATGGGATGGGAATGGAGAGGAGAGGAGAGGAGAGGAAAAAGTGGAGGTGAGTCTATCGGTTCGAGTAGCTTTGACTCACTCGTACGTTGAGATATTCGAGATTGCGAAATGCGTATGCGTAATTTGCATGTGTATATGGAGGATGAGAAGAAATTTGTACATGAGAAATATTCTAGAGTACATAGAATGTAAACTTTGGAAAATGTTTGTTGCATAGGTTTTTATCATACGAGTATATAGAAAGACTAGGAGTAAAATGCCAGTAACAATATCCATCACGACTCACAGCACTAGCTGGTGCTGTATCCTTCGACGTTAGTATCTAAGTCAGTATAGTAGGACTTTAAAATAGAACAACATTAGATAAATAAAATAATATATTTGTTTGATTATATATATATTTAGATTTATATAAATTGCTAAAGCTTCATCGCAGACTAAGATCCAAGAAACAAAAGAACTAGAGAGTACTGTACTGACTGTACTACAGCAAAACCAACGAAAATATCGGGGATAATCTGCACCGAGCCTTCTAAAATAGTCAGATTGACTATCGAAGTGTGCTAGACTCATTCCTAGCACGCTATATAGCTCAGCTCAATCATACAGCCCCCTTCAAACTGCTTTCCAAAACAAAAACCCTTCCAATTCCCCATTCTTGATCTAGTCTAATCTAATCCACCACATCTAATCCAGAATTCTTAAACGTATGATATGTTAGACCCCGCCACTGTATGTAGGTATCATCCACCATTTCTCCCAATATCTACCCCTCCATTCCTTCTCTACTCTATAATTCACATTCTCAGTTCCATTCCCTCGTTTCCCTTTAAACCTTGCACTCCTCCCCATACCCCCACCACGATTCCTCCCACCTCTATTCCCCCTCCACATCACACCACGATTCCTCATCCTCCCTTCCAAACCGCATAATTTTCCACCTGTCTCTTTCCTCGCCATACCCACATCCACATCCACTCCCTCACACACCCCACAAACACCTCCCCAATATCTAACCCTCCCCTTCTTCCTCGCACACCCTATCCACCATACCCTCTGTATCATCTGTATCATCTGTAATTCCTCCCATTTCCATTCCCATTCCCTTCTTTCTCCTACCACATCCTCCACCACACCCTCCTCTACATCCCCCACCACATCACCCTCCCCTTGCACATCCTCCTCTCTCCCAACATACCCCATATCCAACACCCTCTTTCCATTCAGCTTTCCATTCAAACCCCTCTTACAAAAAATAATCCCACTTGTCCCACCACCACCAAAACCTAATCTCGGACTTGATCTCAATCTCAACCCCAAATCCCCCCTTGAATATCCATGACCACAGCCAAGATATCTATACCGTGTTTCGATGCACATTTCCGGTAACTTTCTTTCTTTCTTTCTTTTCTTTTCTCTTCTTTCCTTTCGTTATCTTCCCTTTATCCCTCAACTTCCACTCGCCTTCATTCGATGATCCGGCGTGATATATGCGTCGGAATTTCTTATCGTCAATTCGTATGTACTGTATATATGATGTGATATCTGTTCCGTGAAACCACAAATCATACGATGCGTATGTAGATGTGCAGGTAGGTAGGTAAATAGGTAGGTAGGTAAATAGGTAGGTAGGTAAGTAGGTAACTCCCAAAACCGTAATTTCCAAGGTATCGCCGCGTCGCTATTCGTCCTCAGCACAAAAGGTTGCCTATTCCTTACTTTTTGCCTTCTGTCTTCTGCCTAAATCTCCTCTCTTCTCTCTCTTCTCTTCCCTTCTTCTCCTCTATCTTCCCCTTCACCTCCAATATCCACTCCTCTCCTCAAATCCCCGTCCAGGATATCTACTCAGTAGTTAAAATCATATAATTCGTATAATCCAAACTCGATCCCCAAAGACCCAAATCCCCAAATCCCCAAAATCCAATATCCAGTATCCAATATCCAATATCCAATATCCAAATCCAAAAGTCAAATCGTCCCTGATTTATTCAAATTCTTCATCGTATACAAAAAAATCGAATCCAAAGAAGAAGAGATCCATATATATATACTCAACACCCCCCTCCAAATCCAGCAGTGAGTGAATCATTATACTCGTACTATAAACCTGGCGGGCATACTGCTGTACATACAAAACAAAACATAACAAAAGTATGACTCGAATACCCCTTGCAATATTCAAGTTCATGACGAGTGAGTATGGAAATAACTACAAAGTAGTCTCATAATTCATCATCATCATCATCATCATCATCATCCAGAATGTTTTTCTCCTAGAAATTGTGACTAACTCTATAACTGAAATATATAAATAAACAAAACAAATAAACAAAATAAGTAAATAATTGACACTTGCATATCAACTCCCTAATCCCATATCCAGACCCAAGAACCTGGATAGACTAGCATATTAACATATTAACAACATATCAACAATAATTCTCAACTCATCACATCACAGCTAGCTATCGTCTAATCCCACCCATCCTCACCGTACCAAATTACCCCTTCATCAACCCCCCCCTCCCCCCCCCTTTCATCACGAACTATTCGTAACATCACAATCCATAATACCATCTTCAAAGCACCAACACAAGCACGACATAGACTAAACCTTTCAAACTTAACTTTTTCAAAAACATCAAATTGCCGCGCTCACTCGCTTGCTAAGTGCTCCGCTTGTCCTCGTAGATGTACTGTACTGTAGATATAAACATAATGTAAAAAGCACCCCTCTCCAACACCTAAACTCCCCAATTGCGAAAATGTGAAAATGGGAAAATGTGGGAATGTGACAGAGTACTACTCGAATAATGTACTAGAATGATCATAACCCAAAAATACCTCCAAATGCTACTGTATATAGAACATGAAACACGACATGGTATGGCATTTCTTGACTACTGACTACAGTAGTAGAATTCAAAAACGCAGGAAGCGAGCGAGGAGATCTATTCGCTTTTTGTATTTATATTACCGTACCATCACCATTAATCGTCCGAGTATCCGTCACCACGCTCTCCCCCTCCCTTTCCCCATCCCCAATCCCAACATCCACCCCACCCCCGGGTTTCCTTCCCACTAAAACCCTCGCCATAGTTTTCAACCCCCTCGCCCTCTCCCCATCCATACTTACCCTCCTCATATCCTCCGCACACACCACACACCTCCTCCTCACCTCCTCCTCATCCCAGCCCAACGCCTGCGTAAACAATCGCAACGTATACGCTTCCAACGAGCTCAACATGGACACCAACCACAATTTGCCTATCGTCCTCTGCGTCTTTTCCTCGGGCCACGTGCCCATCGGGATCCCAAATTCCCTAACCTCCACATCCACAAATCCTCTCTTGCGCAACCGTTCCATCTGCAGATGCGCCACTCCGCCCGGTCGCCCCGATATCCGCGCCGCTTCTTCAATATCGCGTATGAGAGACGCCATCGGGCTATCGGGGTCGAAAAATGAGAGAAAGGCTTTCGGGTCGTCGAAATCCATGATTTCAATCCAACCACCGGGTTTTAGGTGCAGATAGGCTTCCGAATATATATGATCCCAATCACTAAATGCACCAGCCATATTCCGCAAGTGAACCAGATCAAATTCGTTAGGAGGCCATGTCCACCCCCCTTCTTCTTCCGCATCATCGATTTCGAAAAATACATTGAGGGGTACGGCGGTAGGTTGCACTTTGGCAATATCTGTCCCGATTATTTCGGCCGAGGGCCATAGATCCCCCATTCCCATGGCCCAATCGCCAGCGCCGGTTCCAATATCGAGAATGCGCGTGGGGGATTGGAGAGGCACGGTGGTGAGTTTGTTGTCGAAGATTTGGAGGTATATTTGGTGGATGATGCGGAGACGATCGAGTTCTTCTTCGTCAATTGGCATGTAATAATCTCCGACATAGACTCGTCCATGTTGGTGTATATATGCTACATCGGAATCGTAGAGTGAGCGAGTGGAATTCCTGTGCCGAGAAAAAAGTCATTAGCATATTTGATCAGAAGTTGGAGGTAGAAATATCATTTAAGGATCTCACACTGTATCTTGATCTGTTTGAGGGTGTTGAAAAACAGATTTGGTATAAGCAGCGCGTCTCTTATGTCCCTCAATTTCCCTCTGTACCGTTTCCCTCGCAGCAAGCGCATCGTTTTCCATTTCCTCTTCGTCATTATCGTCTGGTATAAGTGGATTACCATTGTCCGAATATCTCAATTCTTCAGGGACATTTCTATTATCATCTGATAAACTGCCCCCTCCGCCACTTTCTTCCTCCTCTTGTTCCCTCATGGACCTAGGATTGGTGCAAAGAGCCCCCATTGACATTTCCTTCCTCCAATTCACCATTCATTCCACCTTCGTTCTCGTATCCCGTCGTATTATCTCGTTTCGTCGTTGATATTCTCTGATTCAATTATCAATACTGTATTCATTTATTGAGCACGAATCCACCACTCGACAGAGTTCCCGTCTCCAGTCGAATAGTTCGTAGAATATGCAGATGCAGATGCAAATGCAAATATCAAAACACAATACCAAACCAAGTAACAATAATAATAACTTGCACACCTCGTAGCAATCCAACAAACTTCCCTTTCCAAATCACCCTTAAGCAACAAATCAAAACAAAGTAAAGAAAAGCATCCAAACACTCCAATTAACAATATACTAACCGGACCGTCACTCCCACTATATGAAGGAAGATTACAAAAGATGGTACTGAGGCAGTGATCTTTGTATTTTGACAGCAAGCAACAGACAACCCCACCCCAAAATATACTTTTACCGATAACAACCTTAACCTTAACCCACTCCAATCAACTAACTAGTAAGCACCCCAAACTACGGATCGTCCCCTTCAATTAATTACCCATTATTCACCAGAAACCAATCCACCCAATTGGTTCCAAACAACCTTTCCCATATCCTTGGGACTGGATTATTTTAGTGTTCATATATTAATTAGTGTTGTGTTCATGCTTTGTATTATTAGTGTTTGTATTAGTGCTAACTCCACTGGCATCCAATTAGCATTTTATCGATATCAACCGAAACAATTAACCTAAGTAATCTAATTCATCAACAGCCTGAAGTTAATTTATATACAAGTACTCGAGTACTCAAGTAGGTAGGTATAGAAATCATCTACTTGTACCAAGTAATATATATACCACATACCACATACCACTCAACTCATTCTTAATCTAATCGCCGCTTTTAACGTCCAGCCGAGGAAAACCTCAGAATGCCTTCAACTCTAATTAGACTTACCATAATGTACAACTAACCCCCCAAATGAAACGTCCAAGAAAAATATATCCCAAAGAATAAATACTAACAAGTAATAGTAAATATATTCTTATTATACGAGTATAGCAAATTTTTAAATACCTACCTACCTACCTACCCGAATGATATCGAGTCATAATTATTCAATCCTTTACTGTAAGTTTCCAATTAATAATTACAATACCGGTACTGAGTAGGTACAATATAAATAAGATGCCTACCTACCTACCCGAATCTAATTAATAATTACAATACCGGTAGGTAAGACTTATAATATATAAAATAGCTATTTACCTACCTACCTACCTTATTACCTACCCATCTGAATCCAGAATCCAAAATCCAACATCCAACATCCGGCATCCATCCAAGTATCCAGTAATGCAGTCCATCCCAGTCCAGCCCAGCCCATCTCAACCCAACCCAGCCACTAACATTCCCACATTCCCACATTACCAACATTCCATTCCCCAACATTCCCCAAATAGCCACCCCTGAGCCCGTGACCCCTTTCTCTTTCTCCCTCTCTCTCTCTCCCTTCTCCCTTCATCAAAGTATCCCGCCCATACTCTCCTATATCCATACTATACTTGCACTTCCATATACAGTACGGAGTAGAGTAAATGTTTCACATCCCTCTGAAACCAAACCAAGCCATCAATCACCATCAGCATATTTCCCAAAAAGGCCCGAAGATTACATTCTTCTAAAGTTCCAATATGATCTCTATTATTATTGTTGCAGTATCCTATCCTATCCTATCATAACCTATCCTATTCAAGCCAGACCCTAATCCACCAAATCAACATCCATAAAATAACTCTCCACATCAACATCAACATCAACATCATCTAATCATGTACTTACTTGCCAGTCTATCCATGGGAAATATAAAAAAACGCACGCTCTTACACTGTGTCCGACAACCAAAGCATCCGCCAACCAAATCACCAACCAAATCACCAACCAATCACCAAACCAATCAATCAATTAAACCATATATGAACCCCATATTCCTTTTCTACGCCACCCCACCAAACATGAAGCTGAAATGCAATGAGTGCAGTGCAGTGCAAGCCCAAGCCCAAGCTAAGCATGCATGCATAACCTAAACCTCGACTGTCTGACCCCTCTCACTGGAAACGCCATTCAATTTTCTGTTCTTGCCCAAAATCATATTATCATCAGCATCAATCATCATTTCCTCCTTGACTTCCTCAACACTATGATCGTCACCCACCACTTCCGATCCAGCAACTGTGGGGAATGGAGTAAGGACCTTGGTGATATCACCCCACCATCTTTCACCGAATCGCTTATACCAGTCAACCGTAATGGCCATGCCATCCTCGAAACTGGTCTTTTGATCCCAGCCTAATAGTCGAAGCTTGTTTCCATCGACAGCATATCGATGGTCGTTGAAAGGTCGGTCTTGGGTATGCTTGACCCACTTGTGGAGCTCAGCCTGGGTATTGTGGGGAATGTCCAAGTACGTGAGTAATTTCGAGCATAATGTCAAGTTGGATATCTCATCGTATGAGCCAACATTGTAGATCTGTCCCATGGTGCCTTTGTGAAGAATGGTATCAAATGCATCGGCTGCGTCGCCAGCGAAAAGATATCTTCGGGTAGGAGTTCCATCTCCATGTAAAACAACGGGCTGTCCACGTTGGAGCAAGCAACTGAATTTGGGAATGATTTCTATAAGATTGTCAGTCGTGTAACTCGGATAATTGATTGGGTGGGATTCACTCACTCTCGGGGTATTGATGAGGACCGTAAACATTGTTGCTGCGAACAATAATCACGGGTAGCTTGAAGCTCTTCTGGTAAGAATGCACTAACATCTCTGCTGCTGCCTTGCTCGCCGCGTAAGGATTGGTAGGTGCCAAAATGCTGGTCTCCAAGAGGTCATCGTCATCATCCTTCACCTCCCCGTAGACTTCATCTGTAGAGATATGAATAAACTTCTTGATCCCAACCTTTTTGGCACTCTCAAGAAGAACGTGGGTACCATAAACATTTGTATGGGTAAACGCATAAGAATTACCAAAACTCAAATCAACGTGAGATTGTGCCGCAAAATGAAAGATGGTGTCAATGTTGTGTCGTTCAAGGCAGTCGACAACTTCTGATGGGTTTGTAATGTCACCATGGTAGAAGGTGAAATTGCGCTTGTCGTTCAGTGCTCGAGTGTTGTTCAATGAAGCACAGTAGTCCAATTTATCAAATGATACGATATTATATGCATCGGGGTAGGTCAATGTCAAATGTCGTACCAGCCAACATGCACTAACGATGATCAGAACTCTAGTCCGAGCCGCACAAAGAAGTGTGTTCTTACATGAATCCAGCCCCTCCTGTAATCATGATATTCTTCACTTCCGGCAATGGTGTGAATTTGGTGCTTCCTGTAAGTATAGGAGCTTCTTTCCAAACGCCGAAATCTTCGAAGAATTTGTTCTGCTCTCCATTGGCAGAAGAAGGAGCTGTAAACGAGACAAGTCAGTGAAAGTTCCCAACTTAGTGGCAGCGGAGCATTACTTGGAGAACCCATACTCGTACCGTTTGAAGCCATTGTAATGTAATGAAGGACGATTTGCGCAAGTTCGAAAGTCGACTAGAAAGATAGTAGATAGTTGAAATAATGGCAGATTGGGAAAGATTGATGGTCCGAAAATGCAAGCAGAGATTCGCAGGTCGTAAGAATGCGCAAGGAGGGTATCAAAGAGTTTTATTACAGGAGGCTGCAGAAATAGCCAAGGAATATTCGAATTGGCAGACGCAGGGAGAACGAGGATATAATTAACTTTCCAAAAGCAAGAGTGCGACAGTATGCGGAAGGTGAATTCCGGGTCAATTCAAAAGAAGATCCAATCCTAAACAAGGCTTATCATATGCTCTGATAAATAACGAAAAGAACATGCGAGTGAGAAGTGAGAGTGAGGTGAGTGTCGAGATTAGTGAATGGCGGGCATCTGCAGGGAGGGAGTGATGAGATTGGTGTAAAGGGAGGATGATGGTGAGAGACTGGATTGGAAGTTCTTTTTTGGATTGCCCTGCCCTCATTGCCACAGATGCGATCTGATTTGTTATATGAAATGATATGGAATGGGAACAGAAACGAATTTAACAAGCCCATGTCTGATTCCCTTGCTTGAGGATAGAATGATTAGATTGAACGTGGTTGTTCATGATTTAGCATGGATCAGGATGTGTTCAGCCTAGCTCAGCCTGTGAAATGATTTAGTAGGTCTTTTGCTGATAAAGTGGAGAGAAAATACGAAATAAACCTTGTATATTACAGCGGGGAATCTGAAAGGAGGGGAAATATGAAATTCAGAAATACATTGGAGTATATGTTTAGGTACTCGATTGATGTTTGATACTCGAGTATTAGCTAACTCTGTGTTATAACTCTTATATTACTCATAAATAATTATCTGATATATATAAGACGAAGATACAAAATCTCCAATTACCAAACTAGATTATCATTTAATCACAATGTCAGATAATAATCTTAGAGCTTGATAAATGGATGCTGACTTTTCCTGAGTAACAGGGGAAATTGCCTATAATCAAGATCTTGTGTTGAGAGGAGTTCCCCTTATTATATGATCTGTCATATACATTTGAGATTACTCGAGTAGATGTTTCTTCGCTTCTTCTTTTCAATCAAGGCTAGGGAGGCTTGTAAACCGTCTACTCTTCCTGTACGCGTATGTATGTCCGCGCCTTCGAGAAGGAATCCATCCTCTGATATAAGATAGATTTAGCTTGACCAAGAACGGCGGCCCCAAAGGGTCCACCGAATTAGGAAGATAAGCTTTCAATCGTTACAGAAGTTCGAACGATAGATATCGATTACGTGGTCTCACAAAATCCTCTAACAATAATCACACCCCCCTTTCTTACACTTACTTCAATTTATTATATGGAAAAGAAAATCCAAAACCATCTGCAAGCCATTTTCTTATCCGGGTTTCGGCAACATCCTCTAGAATACCCCTGTATTCGTATGGGTTGTGGCATGTTTTAGAATTAGCCCAATCGACCTCCAATTTGTTGGTTGCGGTTAAAAGTGCGGTGCAAAACAAACTATGCGAGCTGTTAACTACCCTAGCACTGATACCAATAATAATGCTGATCTTTTTCTATTGACTGGTTCCTTCAATGCTGTGGCTGCTTTCAATATCAGGAATGTAAGCTTTCCTGTAATACTTTTTGCGAATACCTTCTTACCTGCTAAGTAACTATCTCTATCTGTTCTCAATCCAACCAACCAAACCACCCACCTACCCAACTCTCTACACCTACATATATCCCTCCATATCAAAATACATATCATGGCGGAAAGATCAATGGATCGTTCGGCTTCTGTTAGCTCTGCGTCGACAGATGTCGAGAGATTCGATGATAAGACCGAAAAGCGTGCTTTGATGGGTTCACAGGATGAAGACTACAAACTAAGAACGCCAGAGGAACTGGAAGATGTGGAAGAAGATATTGAACGAGCAGAATTACTTGCTCCACCACCAGAAGAGAAGCCAAAAGCCCCGAAAAGTTCTATCAGATCTTCAATTATTTGGATGGTGGTGAATACATTGGCGACAATCGGTATCGTGAGTTTTTTGAGTATTTGGAATCTTGACAACATAACTAAGTCCAATTTCTTAGGTCTTCACCAACAAGACAATCTTTTCAGATCCTTCTTTGAAACTCGCACAACTCACATTCGCGGCGTTCCATTTCACTGTAACATGGCTGACGCTCTACACACTATCGCGACCGCGGTTTGCGATGTTCGTACCGAAAAGAATTGCAGTCAAAGACATATTTCCACTCGCTATCTCTATGGCGTTGAATGTCATCTTACCCAATTTATCTCTTGCTTTTTCGACAGTTACTTTCTATCAAGTAGCTCGAATTCTTCTCACACCAACTGTCGCACTCATGAACTTTGTTTTGTATCGATCAACATTACCTAGAAATGCGATATATGCCTTGATACCCGCTTGCATTGGTGTGGGAATGGTATCCTATTACGATTCACTCCCCACCGCCGATGCGAATATCAAAACCACCAGTACCTTGGGAGTAATATTCGCATTCACGGGAATCTTCGCCAGTTCTCTCTACACAGTCTGGATCGCCAGTTATCACAAGAAATTACAAGTCAACAGCATGCAATTGTTGTTTAGCCAAGCACCATTGGCAGCTTTCATGCTGCTCTACGTTATTCCCTTTGTAGACACCTTCCCCGTTTGGAGCGAGGTACCGGTGAACCGATGGGTTATGATTTTCATGGTATGTTATCTCGTATTATTAATGTTAATAATCGACTCGTATATGCAATTGTCATGTCAGCTAATCTCGTTTCCAGTCGGGTTTCTTTGCCTGTATAATCAATATGTCGCAATTCTTTATCATTGCTCAAACTGGTCCCGTATCCAGTACGGTTGTTGGACATGTCAAAACATGTTCAATTGTTGCTATTGGATGGATGACTTCTGGACGGGCTGTGGGGGATAAATCAGTAATTGGAGTTTTCGTTGCAATTGCAGGAATCGTTGCGTAAGTCCCTCTTTTTTCTGTCTTTCTCCCCCCCCCTTGTTTTCCCTCCAACCAACTCCTTGTCTACTATTTTCGGGGTCCCCAGCCGGACAATCTTGGCAAGGCGGCCAGCACCCCTTCTTTTCATCTATTTGGTTTCGAGCTATCTTAAATCCCGTTCCTTAAAGGCCGTTCCGTTCCCCGAACTTTGTAGTTAAGTGTCAATCACGGATTATTTATTAGCTTGTATTAGTTTTATAGTAGTTTACTGACGAAACTATTGTATTAGATATTCAATGGTGATGATCAAACACAAAACTTAACCAAAGAAATAGATGATGGAAGTATAAACGTCACGTTATTTACTACATCTTCATATTCATCATCATCTCCATCACCATCACATCTTTTCTACGCATCGATATCATGATTTCACAACACTCAGATTTCACGACCCACCTACTGGTGTACGTATCGAAATCGGTGCAGTACAATCGGTGATCATTTATCCGAAGAATTGCATATTCTTACCTTCTGTTTTGTGAGATATTTCACGAAGCATTATCAAGGCGGGGAATATCGGTACAGTTATCAGATTCCGTGCATCTCATACCCCTCCCTCCCCCTTTCTCATACCATGTTCGATAACGAGATGCTATCCAGATGGCAAATGGCTATGTGGCTGAGATAGGGTACCTGTATTATTGTATTTTATCATATTACATTTTCATCAACAGCGTTTTGATTTTTTTCCATTTGATTTTTGGGGTTAGGTCAGGCAGGTCAGGTCAGGGCCACACCACGCAGTTAGTTGGTTAGGTTTGGGATTTGGGATAGGGGATAGATACTACGAGTAGATTTGCGCGAAAGATACCAAGTTAGTCGGTCAGTCAGCAATAAATAGATAATAGATATGTCAAAACAAGTCAATTTTGGATTTTTTAGTTTTCCCTGGGTGTTTGATTCTGCCAGTGTGTACGGAATTTGTATACAACACATGACTTCAGCTACTTAGCTCCGTTCGTATATAGTCGAGGACAATCAAATCTCACTTGAATTCTTTTAGTTATATAATTTAATATTTTCTATTGTATTATACTCGAGTATACAAGATTCTTAAGTGAGGTTTGCTTATCCTCGACTGTAATATTATTAGTATAGTAAATCCCTTGCTTCCTAAAGTCAGGAAACGCCACTTATCTTACATGCATCGAGTGATCCCAGACATGGACTTTTGGAGGCAAGGCGGATCAAGAAGTTTACTCAGAATTGAATTATTTTACTTTGATTTGCTAGTTCTATCTGACGACAAGAATCGCAGCATCGGTATCTTCGTTTAAGAATTGTCAATTCCACTCATTTACACTGAGATATTTAGAATCCAAGCCTCTTGCATAATGGCAACAAGTATAGCATCACAATCCAGATATTCCAAATTAACCAAGTCACCTTGTCATCATCAATCTCTCTCTTCCGAATGCATCTGACAATCACCACACCACCAAATGTAATAGGAGCGAAGTATCCATATACACTCAAATCCCAAAAAGCAGGACAGAACAATGACCAAAATCCCACAAAAACAGCTATCGTCAATCGCGCTGGCCAATCTCCAATCACGAGAGGAACTGTTTTTCTTTCACGTGCTCTATCTCCAATCTGGTCGTGCATGTCCTGAGTATGCACCGTGGTGAAAACCACGCTTCCAATGACAACAAACCACATCATCCCCTCCATTTTAAGTTGGGCATTGGAAGCAATGAGACTGGTCCCCGAACTGTAACACAGGAACGCAAGAGCATTTAACAAATTTCGAACGACGTAGCTATTGTCCCCCCAGCCAAACTCATTGTATAGGACTCCGAGAGTTATCAAACCCGTGAACTGTCCTAGGGTCTCCAGATAGTAGCTGATGATCAATGCCATACAGTAGGATACTTGCATCCAGCGCTTTGCAAGAATGCTACTGATTCGGCCTGCGGGTATAGGACGCCAAGGCTTGTTAAGTCGATCTTCCTCTATCGACTTTGGGCGTCTCTGGTTGTCAATGACTAATGGCAAGAGGGTGATCCAGGTCCAGAATAAAACGAGTGGAAGTCGAGAGACGATGTCGATGGCTTTGGGAAACTCATTGCTCGTGAGAATAGGTCCGGAGAGAGCACTGAAGATCCCAAACGCCGATTCTGGCCCGACGATCGTTTTGAGGTCGGCAAATGGGAAGAGCCAGATGGTGTAGAGATGAGATGGATACGAGATGCGAGCCTTCTGTATAAACTGTTCGTTAAGTTGGGAGTCATTAAGTTGGCTTTCAGTATACTAGTACGTACATGCATGATACGCTGCGCACCAATTACTTCTTGATTAAACATACTTATGAATGCCATTTATGACAGACAGAGTTATGTATTAACGGAGAATATAGTTAAGTTAATCTCATGAGAAAATATTGTGCTGAAAGATATATGTAAACCGGTTGGGAAGCTCGGGTAGTTTTAGAGCGACGAACTTCAGATATATATAGAAGGGAAAAAGAATATGTAAGCTTGCTAAAGGGATGGGAATCAAAGTTGACCCTAGCCGAACTACCTTTACGAGGCACCTCGGAGGTTCGCCTCAGGCTGGAAAATTCAGTCATCGTGCCGCAGACGTGCGATCAATCTAGCAGCCTGCATCATCCTGTAAAATATCTCTTGTCACTTGGAATTGTTAGTTGGCGACTTCATCTTCTAGAGAATTGCACTTGGCAAGAATCTGCAGGTGGCGTGCGCCCCCTTATTTGGCTTTGTGATAAGATAACGGCAGTACTGTAATAGCCGCTCATGTAGCTGAAGAACACTCGGCGCTGCGCTGTGAGGCTGTAAGAAGTCCGGATCTTCACTTTGCTGACTAGTGATAGTGAGAGAAGGGAGTGAATAAAGACTTGCTTCACTTTGTTGTCGCTGATGGCGCGGAGATATATGCGTAGCACCAACAAAGCCAACTGCTTAGATTGAATCGGTAGAACTTTGTCTATATGATGTTCAGCTCCACCAGTCACAACCGCTGGTAACAAAAGTCAGGATACATCATCATCGCGGTCGTTTTAGCACAGAAAGGCGTGTCCCTACCCATGATGGTAGTCGTTTCGAGCCCCACTGCTAATATCTACGCGACAGTTAGCTAACTGCTCTTTTGTGACCGGCGGAAAACGAGGGGGAAAACTTATTAGAGCTAAAGTTAAAATTATGATGTAGTCATTGAAGCACAGTTTAGTTTTTGCCATGTGTCTCGCTTAAAGTCTTGCGCAGACGGCAACGGTTGCCAAGGCGAGGAAGACGAAATCAACGATTAGAACGGACATGCCTAACTCGTCTCCTGATGCCGGAATCGCCATTGTGTCTAAAGCTACTGGTTTAGAAATCAAATTTCTAACGCTGCGTGTGTACCCGAGCGAAGAAAAAAGTTCAGCTGCTAAAAGTAAGAAGTGTGGAGATCGAGGGGGGGGAACCTACTTCAGGCTTCTACATGAAGCCTACCTTAGCAAACGAGGAAGAGCCTCAAAGCATATGGGCGTTGAAGAAAGCTACACCGCACAAGATACTACCCTTTTTCCATCCTGCAGATTACAATCCAGGGATAAATTTTCTGCATGCCACCCTTTCCATGTATTGTCTACTGAATAGAGAACCTCAGCTGTTGAAGTTTGCTGATGGATATCTCAACTCTTGGGCGAGACTCGGCTGCTCGGCACTACAACCACCAGTCGGCGCTCGCAGTCACGCATACTAAAATGCAGAATCTTCGAGTAATATCACTTGATTTTTCGTCACATCTTCTTCAGTTAATCAATAGGGTTACAGAGCCTAAGTTCGATACATAGGAGCTGGGAAATTATGTAAGATATCTGGTGTAGGGTATGATTCAAGTGCTTGACATGTTATATTATTGGACCACTCGGGGGTAACATCATGCCGAAGAATACCCGGCCATCAACATAATCAGAGTAAGACGGTCGGTCACGCAGAGAATTGGATGATACCTAACCCTAAGAATGTTAAAAAGTGACGCTGTCGCTTATCAGAAATCCGATCAACTAATCAGACAGCTAGAATTCCCAATATTTTGAGTAGCTTTTATCTACAATTCATGTGCTCGAGTAGATGTAACTAGCATTCTCAGATTCGAATATTAACTGCACTTGCTATGTTATCTTATGTTTGAATCAGACTGCTTTCTCCCAAAACAAAGTAAATTCAGATTCACATTAAACTGGATCTTCAAGAAAAAAGAGGGTTTTCCGAACCAGAAGCTATTTTGACCACTCAATAGAACCAAGTGGCTGGCTACTCGGTGTGCAGGATATTTGCTACCGAGACCGATAGAATACGACCCCTCGGACAAACAGCATCGGAAGTAGATACGGGATCAGAGTGGCCGATCAGTCAGCAGTCAGGCACCTTTCAGCTAACTCTCAATTCCCAGCTGAATCGCTGACGATGTATCATCATTATCATCGCTGACTCGCTGATGTAGCTGATCAATTAACACGTGATCCTTATTTAGAAATAGAATATCGAATTTCCTCCTCGACCATCTGGAAGATCTTATACTATGTCATGAGAGCCAATTTCGATGGTTTGGCAAGCGACATCAGTCCTCAACCACCCAAGCTAGCGGGTCAGCTAGGCTCCGCTACTTACGAGCACGGAATGGAGGTGACAGACGTGGAATACAAGGATGGATTAGTGACGGTCACATACCGTGATACGGGGACTGAATCCCATGGGACCGTCCATGCCGATCTGGTGATTGCAGCCGATGGAGCTTTTTCCAAAGTGCGCCAAGTCTTGCAGCCAGATTTAAAGCACAAGTATGCAGGTTATGTGGCTTGGAGAGGGACCGCTCCGGAGAGTGAAATTTCCGAGAAGACTAAAGCAACATTTGCGTGCAAAACAACCTTATTTACATACAAGGGTGGTTACATTGCTCTGTAGGTGCTTCATCCAAGTGTCTACATGCATAATCTAACCTTGTCTTAGTTATACCATTCCAGGAGAAGATGGAAACACTTCTCCTGGCCATCGACAACTCAATTGGGTCTGGTATACTGCGTGTCTTGAAAACTCACAGGAATTCGTCGATGTAATGACGGATGTTGATGGGCATACACACCGCACTACATTACCGATTGGAAAGGTAGACCCCCAAAACTGGAACCAACAAAAAGCTCTAGCCCAGCAGATTCTCCCCGCACCATTTGCAGAGATGGTACAAAAAACGCACAAGCCCTTCATTTCGGCGATCCACGATCATGAAATTGCCAAACCTCTTCTCTTTGATGGCAAATTACTTTTCGTGGGAGATGCGTTGGCGACTTTTCGTCCGCATGTGGCTTCGAGCACTAATCAGGCTGCACTGGATGCGCAGCTACTAGGACAATTCATGGAGGGTGATATTGACGCCGCCGAATGGGAGGCTAAGGTCCTTGCGTTTGCGAACTTGACGGCGGTGCGGAGTGAACTTTGGGGTGCTTACTATATGTCTGGGATCCCGACGCTGGTTTTTGTTTCTAAATTCTTCCGTTATTGGAAATTGGTGGCGGTACAAGCCATTTCGAAACGTCTTTATGGCTAGATTTCTACTAGCTCATAGAGGGAGGGGGGAGTGGTGGTTAGGGTCATCGAACTCATGGTTCTGGAGTAAATTTGAGGCATTTTTGAGAGCATTTTGAAGGGTTTTGAGAATATTATAACTTTGAAAGAAAAAAGAAAAAAGAAATTTTTTGATTAAATGATAGGGCAAGAGGAGAAAGGTAGAAAGGGAAAATAGGGGAGAAGATAAAGGGGAGGAATATCGAAGGGGGGAGAGAGGGGGGGTCATAGCAACGGAGACATTCCACGTGCTTTTGATTTTGACAGCTTGGTCAAGAAATTGGACATTTGGACTCGTTACCGAGTAAGGTGTCTTGGTCTCGTCATACTTTTCAATGAACGATTGAACATGTTCCATGGCGGCGATACCGGCCCCAAGACTCATTTGCCGAGAAGGAGGATGGCGTTCGAGGATTCGGACATGATGTCCGAGCCGCCGAAGGATGATTCCGTGGAAAAGTGCAGTGAGAGAGCCTCCAACCTGTTGGGGTGATAGCTGTTAGTATTTAACTAGACACTACAGTTGGATTCCTTACAATCAAGACGTTCAAAGGATCCGCGGTCATTTTAACAGACTCGAATCTCAAAAGGCGAGAGTGTGAGTGTGGAATGATATGTTTGCTAGAAGTGAGGAAACAATCAGTCGGAGGATAAACCTGAGCACCGTGAGGTAGTGAGGCGCAGCACGGCTGTTCGATTGCATCATGCTGCTGATTGGTTACCGGCTTTTCTTTAGATTCCATACTAGGTGACGAGGATGACATCATGACCCTTGATACATCTTCACAACTGTTGATTTTGATGATTTACGGGGACTTATCTACGCATCTACTGATGATATTTCTCTATCAAATGCGGAGGGAAGCCATTGTATGTGTCTTTGTGCATCCATAATAAGGTGTAGTACCCTTGAGCAACACCAATATCATACCATACCATACCATACCATACTATCCACCACCAAAATGGGAGATTCATGCTTCAGGAGATGAGGTCCGAAACGGATATGTTGATTATACTGCTATACTCATATGGGTTGAGATATGAAGCACCAGGCCATGGCTTTTCTTTACTTTGAACAGCGAATCGCGGAAAATCTTCGCCTAAAATGTTTCTTTACAGGTTTTTCTATTTTCTAGCAGTAGCTATGGGAGTTGCTTGCCATCTTTTATTTTTCATTATAGGGAAACACTATATCGAAGCACCTGTCTTGTCGGTATTACCTCCTCGAGGCGTTTCCTATATTCTCTAGCCATATTTGGTTTCTAAGGCAATGCTTGTTATAAAGCTCACTTAATTTTGATTACTATTTGCACAGTCTGTCTCTTTATCTAGTATGATGATAAATACATCGAACGCAATTCCATAATATACATCATTATGCCGGACTTTATATGGCAAAGACATCTAAATTCTGACAAGTATCAAAGTGTATCACGCGAAGAACTATGCGTTCATGTACAGTAACGCAACAGGTGCATGAAAAGTATAGTGATGTTATTCGGACATACACATGTATATCATACCCTCCAGAGCCGCAAAGAATTCTCACCCTCACCTTGAACTAAGCCGAAAAAAGCGACAGTATCCAAAGCGCAAAATTTCCCTGTCCTTGATGCTATGGCACACGAACTACGTACCATAAATATCTGGAGTACGACTTTCTTACCCTCGAGTGTCATCAATATTCGCAACGATTCCGTCGACAAGACAACACATGAGTGACAACGACGAATCTGAATTCCAGAGCTCTGAGACTGCACGATGAATGAAAGTTTTCAGGCCTTTTATCTCCATGGTTGATCAAAAGAAAAATATGATGATATACGGGTAGTGTATTCAGCATTGCAGTGTCCTACGAGTAGAAGCCATTACTTAAATGGGCACGATAGCAGGCCCGTGAAAGATTCCAGGCAGGTATGTATACTCAACAATTGAATAATTCGGCAATCCTCCTACTGACTCGCTGCATGTTCACCGGCTGGAGATTCAGCCGCAAGTACTCGACATGTAAGAACTACTTACTGTATCTTGTTACGAATTACTGTGGAAGGAACCTACGAGTACAATACTGTATATGGTAATGCATATTTTAACACAATAATCAGATAATATAATGTCTTGTTCATTTCATTGACTTGATAACTACAGTCTAGTCTCTTAGAAAGCTAACGAAAACGACCTTATCAATGATACGAACCGGGTATTAGGAGATGAAACACCCTTTCAATTCGCGGCCGTAATCACTCGCATCCCTCTCACAAGTTTCTAAGTTTTTTCTTCTCAACTTCTATAAATCTCTAAACTTCATCGCACATGCCCCAAAACTATTTGGATTTCCCAACCACCATTTCGCATAATACTTTCCAGCACAAGTGACTTCCAAGAACGAAACTAAACTACTCGAGTATATCCTCCGTCCGTATGGTACATACCTAGCTCTATTTGTCACACTCGAGTAAATAGCAAGCATCCACGAGCATATATTATCCAACTAACCACAGAGTAACCAGAACGCGACGTGTCACGTAAGTAAAGTACGTATACTGAAAGCTAGCCTAATAATTCCGTTGCTTCCAGCACCCTACTCAAGATAACAAAGAAGAAGAAGAAGAAGAAGAAGTGCCCTATCATCATCGGTAGCATGGTATTTTATCCACAACCAACGTTGCGTAGTCAAGATAGGAGTCCTCATGTACGAGTATAACCAGATTCTAAATACCTAGAGCACGTGGAAAGAAAACTGTCTCTTTCGTGATTGGGGGGTAGACGATGGCTGATTTTAGTGGGACTTTGGCTATTGGTCTATCCTGCTTTTTGAGATTGGATACTTCGCTCCTAATGCATTTGATGCTATGGTAATCGCTAGACACATCCTGAAGAAAGGGGGTAATGATGGTAACGTGACAGATTTTCCGGCATTGAAATATTTGGATTATTGCCATTATGCAAAGATCTCAGTGTAAATTAGTAGGCTGATAATTCTCAAGGGGAGATACAGACCAATGAATGCTGCGATCCTTGTTGGCAGATAGATAGAAATAGCAATCAAAATAAGATACTTCAATAATGGAATTTGCTTTTGGAAGTCCGCCTTCCCTCCAGGAGCCCATGTCTCAGGACCACTCGATGTAAGGAACACATTGCAAAATGTGAAACATGACTGAACGCCTCTATTTTCGTCCAGAAACCCTCCAGGAAAAGCCAACGCAACGCCATATATCCTACATACGTGACTTCATAAATACCATATCCAGCTTTCTCCAATCGAATCGCTCCCGAATAAAGCAAAAGATAATAAATGTAGACTATGCTCCGAAATAAACAACCAAGAAAAAGTACTGTCCAGTAGAATAATAGTGACGTGAAATAAAAAAGTATCTAAGTTACCAGGGTACCAAACTTGCTGGCCACATAGGATATTCCACCCCATCAATGATCTCCACATTCTCATCTCTCCTCTTAACACCCTCTTGACCCATATCCCATCTTTTCCAATTCGAGTTGCAATCCCCCGGGACATATTTCGCCGCATCCATCCTAATCGTCATCTTGACTTCGGGACAATAATCCCAAATATGTTTTCTCATCTCCGGTGTTCCCCAGATCCCCGCATGAAGTGTCACTCCACTTCCACCAGTATGATAACCCATCGGTTCATAAAAACCATCTCTCCAATCATCCACCCCCTTTATCAACCCCCCAGCCTTCCCATCTTTCCCCTTTGCCTTTTTTCTCTCGGCAGCAACTCGCTCTCCTTGGCCACTATGCATTTCTCCCGAAAACGTAAGTGAAGCCGTGCCATTTGCAAGTTTGGACCCGGGTCGATGTCCCAATCGATCAGTAAGCCACACATCTTCGGCCTCGGAATTATCTTCTCGCACTTGGTTGCGCAGGACTTCGATGATGGCGCTCACGCGTCGCAAACTCAATCCCCCGTTCCCCCAAATTTGCCATTGGGATTCCATGGTGCTCCTACCCAATCGTAATCCAACCAGCTATTTAGACTCTGTCTACTATTCGCACAAAGCATGCTGTCTGTCTGGAAAACCAGTAACCATTCCGCAGGTTGTAGCACCGTTTCATAGAGCCATAAATTCGTAAGGAATCGACTGATCTCTTCTTGCGAACCGGTCGTCATGTTGGCGGGGATATATGTTAGGTCGAGTTTCCCAGATTGAACGTGTTGACGAATCGCGCGACTGGTATTCATATGCGCGACGGATTCGAGACTGCCCATGAAGCGGAAACGCCAGTCGGGAGGCACGACGGACATAAAGTGTAGCATAAGGGGAGATAGAATTGGATTGACGCGATTTTCGATAATAAGTGCTACTTTGGAGGCATTGTATTGGGATGGGGGTGGTGCGCCATAGTCGAGGGTTAATTTGGGTATAGTAGGGAGAGACGGGCGTTCTGGTATTGAAGGTCTGAGAAGTAGGATGGAGAGGATGCTGAATTAAAGGTATTTATTAGGTTAACATTTTTCTCAAATGTGTGTAATTGAGTTATGATAGGGACGGCACTCACAAAAATAAAAATACACCACCAACAACACGCATACGTCGTGTGGTATTCGACCATGCTACCATCGTAGTCGATCTCGTCGTATCCCATATATCCTCAATAGTCATCCCACCATTTGGCGACGACGACATGATTGCGATTTTGATCGTTTTTGCCGCAACCGGCTCACAAGGCTCGTAACTTCAATCAGCTACCGATTTGATATCTAGCTGTAAACCCAATAAAAGATTAGAAGTGAGATATTGAGATATGTCATATCATAGCGATAAGAAATTCATCAAGTAGAATCAAGCTTTCTAAGGGAGCTTTGATGATGTTCATGGGTTTGGGTGGTCCTAGCTTTTTGACAGGTGTTTGGATGTTGATTAGAGGATCGTCCTATGAAACAATAGAATTGTGTCTTACCCTCCTATTGTCTAGCACCCCCTACTATCTACCCTTTCTCTCTTTCTCCCTCTCATCAGATCGATCATTTCCGATCATATATCCGAAATCAGCTCGCTCGATATGGGGGAGTAGGTTGATCCGCAGAGGTAATATTGTGATTGGGGCATTCAAGTCTAGAGAGCACGAGATATCCGAAACAGGCCTGATCTTGAATGCCCCAACTCTACTCACGGGGGGTTGAAAACAACTTTGTTAAAGTTTTGTTTTCGGATTTTTCCAAGTTCAGCCTCAATCTCCACGATGTCTTATGGAATGTCTAGTTTTTGAATCGCGCAAGGAAAAACTTCCTTGACAATGAGCTCAGAAAAAGGATGTTTGTGAAAGTTCACGAATATCTCCTTGCGTTATTGACTTCGAGATCTATGCTAAAAATCTCATCTCGATACCCCTTTTCCGAAGCATGAAAAATGGCTTTTTGACTATCACTTCTGATTATAGATGAGCATTCTCAATTAGATGCAGTCAAGGGGAAAAGCAGGAAATGAATGGCTTGTGGCGACGATTTCATACATATTTTCTTATCTTGCCGAAAACAGGTGAGACTTTATTAAATGTAAATATTTTTCAATATGCCCTACCTCATAGCCAATCCCGTTTTTGCAAGTGCCCGGAAACGTCTATTACTTGGTCAAATTTTGTCTAGCGGGCATAGATCTCCGGCTCAATGCTTCGGTGACCATTAAATTTGTTTGTGGGAGGATACATTCCGTGGAATTTTGTGCATTTCGTTCGATTTAAAATTCATAGACTACGACGGCAGGGTCGCATGCCATGGCTGTCGATGCGCAACAACGTCGAGCTCGCAATATCGGACTGGGAGCCATTCTTCTCCTTGTAGCTATCTGGACGTTCAGACTCTCCTACCCGAATGACACTGTCATCAATATCTATTCCAATCACACCAAAAATTTAAATTCATCAGTTCCAGCATTTTCCCTACCAAATTTGTTCCTTGGAGAAAAGTCGAATGCGACACTTGAAGCCAAACCCGTCTTGGATGAATTCGGGGATTACTTCAATGGAACCATCTTCAACAAAGTGGCGGTGATAATCGAGGATAGCTATCGTCCTGAGGTGATACCTCTGGTCCTCCACTTCGGCAGTGTTCTGGGCCCTACCTGGCCAATACTCATCTATACTTCAATCGAAGAAGTCGGCCGATTTTCCACATCTGCGGCACTCTCTCGGTATCTTACACAAGGCCTCATTCAAATACGAAATCTTCCACAATCCGTCCTCTTCACCGATCTCAAAGCCAGAAATGAATTCATGACAGATACATGGTTGTGGGAGAATCTTGCACCCGCAGAACACATTCTACTTTTCAATAGCGACAGCATGTTATGTTCTAATGCAGCAACGAGCGTAGATGATTTCTTCGCTTATGATTTGGTGGGAACGCCACTCAAGGATAAGGGGCATAGAGGGGGTTTGAGTTTGAGGAAAAGGAGCAGCATGTTGAGGGTTCTCGATAGTTGGGATTTTGCCGAGGAGCTCAAGAAGTGGGAGGCTCAGAAAAAGAAGAAAGAGGATGTGAAGAAGAAGAAGGAGGAGGAAGAGAAGAAAAAGAAAGAGGAGGAAGAGAAAAAGAAGAAAGAGGCAGAAGAAAAGAAGGCAAAGGAAGCGGAAGCGAAGAAGAAAATCCAAACGGAAGAGAAGAAAAAGAGGGACGATGAGAGGAAGAAAATAGCAGAGGGCCAAAAGGGCAATCTGAAGGAGAAGGAAGGTAAGCTGGATGACAAGAAAGAGAAAGATAAAGAGAAGGGAGGCAAACAGGATGTCAAGCAAGATGTCAAGCAAGATGTCAAGAAAGAGAAAGCTAAGGAAAAGGAAGCGAGGGAACAGAAGAGAGAGGAGAAGAGAAAGGAGGAAGAACCAGAGGAAGAAATGGCAGAAGATCAATGGTTTCAAGAAAAGTACGTCCAACTTCTTCTCAATTCCATCAAAAGCACACTAACGATAGAACTCAGATTACGAAAATTACGAGACGATGAAGAAAACGTCGACATTGACCCCGAAGCCGATGGTGCAATTAATCTACCCACGGAAGAAATTTCTCGCACATTCAGTGTAGAGTCGATCGATTATCCTCACCCATTGGGACTACATCGCGTACACAAGTGGAAGGCCGATCAGATGGATAAATTACAGGATTGGTGTCCGGAATATAGATTATGTTCGGTACCGCATCATGGCAAGGAATTTCCTACTTTTGAGGATGGAGGTGTGGGTTGGTAGGAGGGCATACATAGTATGTATGTAAATAATGATAGGGGTTCGGCTATTTCATGTGGATGGATGGGGCTTGCTTGTTTCTTTGTATATGGTATGGTATGATATGGAGTTGGAGGTGCTGAGATAGATAGATCAATTTGTTATAATTCTTTGTGATTTACTCTTATCAATTTTGCCTTGCGTTGATATTACTGTGATTTTCAAACTTGCTGTTTTCTCTCCTCTTCAAATCATACTATCTCATTAAAGGGATTCTTCCTGGTGGCGGGAAGGGGCTTTCCACATTCCTCAGAACAGCCATCATATGCATGTCTTGCATCTTTTTTTTTTGGATCATTTCAATTACGACCAACCCCCACAGGGAATCTCCGGATAAAGTGATATATTTTTCCTTACACATATCTAGAATGAGCAATTCGAAGAATATGGAGTGAGTTTATTCTCATTCGAGAAAATAGTGGCTGTGTACCTAGGTACCTACCTACCTGGCTGCTGGATATTTAATTATCTTCAATCAATATATTAACTCAACTAATAGTTGGTTAGACAGACAGATATAGGTTTTGATTTCCCATATCTGAATTTCTCTATTAAAAGATGTACACAGGGATTATTGAAGCAGGGACAAGGGGTGGGGGCATACAAGAATCGGATAAATTCACGCCTCTGTAATATTAAATGCCCAAAAGCATGTTTTAAATCTCTTGGCTTATTAAGAATCATTCTATATTCTTTCACACATCCATATCACATCACAATCATAACTCCCCCTCCATCAAAATCTTCCTCTCTTGCATATTCACCTACCGTATTTAGAACTCTGGAGGATTCACCATGCACATCATGTAAGGTCGTAGGCCAAACCAATCTAGCCCAATTACAATTCCTATGTTTTGACTATTTCTTTTTTGGCTTCGTTCTCTGTGTCACCATAGTCGCTCGTACTGGCAAACGAGTTTGGCTGGCCTTACACTTGCATTCACCTATTTTGCATTTTTGGCAAGAAGCCATACTTTATTATTAAACATAACTTATTGCAGTGGGAAAACCAACCATGTCGTCTTCGCCTGCGAGGCCCACCTCTTTGGGTAATGGAGTTGTGGTCATAAATAAAACCAGAATTTTGTTATTGATATCGCTGATAGCAACGTAAGTCATTGTGTCCTATCCAACCCAGCCCAGTCTTACCTCTCAGAGAGGCAAACAATCCATAAAATCCACCGAGAAAAATCTAACCGCATCATCATTAGATGGTGGATAGCCCATTTTGTTCCGCGATATCGACCGGTTGTGGAAGAACATATCAAAGGAAGAATATCTTCTGCGGTCGACAAGATCCCCGCTGTCAAAGTAGACTGGTATCCCTACCATGACCCACGCGAGCAATTCAATGCTTCGAAAGTGGCCCTTCTTATTGAAGGCAGACCAATTCCTCACCTGGTCCCGCAACTTCTACATATGATATCTGTTTTGCCGCCGGATTGGCGATTCATGTTCATCGGCACAAATAAGAGTGTCACAGCAGTATCCCGCAGTTTTGCAACACAATATCATGAGGCTAATGGCAAGTTGGATTTGCTGGTTCTTCCTAAGCCGTGGAAGATTGATAGTAAGGAGGATGTATTCAGGTTGCTTACGGATCTACGTTTCTATGATGAATTTTTGCCAGATGTCGAATGGCTACTCAAGTACGAGTCGGATAGTATGATGTGTGGAAACTCGGAAGAGAGTTTGAATGACTGGCTAGATTATGATTGGGCTGGTGCTCCTAGGTAAGAGATATCTTTGCACTCAAGCAATGTCCGACTATTTGAGACATAGATTAACATGTGTTTGCATATAGAATTGCGAATGATCATTTTGCAGGAAATGGCGGACTTTCATTCCGAAGAATCTCGACGATGAAGAAAATCCTCGGGTTTCAATCCCGCATCAACGACACGGCTCCCGAGGATGAGTGGTACGGCAAACGCATCACATTATTACCCGGAGCACGAGTGGCGAGTGGTGAGAAAGAAGACCATTTTTCAGTCGAAGATCGATATCATGAGAAACCCATGGGATACCATGTACGAGATGGAGGAGGAGTGCTTCCGGAAGATGTATGGAAGGATCCGGATCAGAGAAAGAAGATCTTTGATTATTGTCCGGAATTGGCTATGATAATGCCAATGAAGTTGGAAAAGGAGAGATGTCCAGGAGATAATAGGAAGGGCGAGATTATAAAGGATAAGGATGAGAAAGATGGTAAATGAAGCGGAATAGTAGAAGATACACTTAGCTGGGTCAGGTCACAAGGCGAAAATTTAGGGTTATGGTGTACCGTGTATGGGTTTCTAGATTTGGATGTGTTATTAGCGAGGATGCATCGAGAAATACATGAATGGCAGGGAAAAACTTGGATGCATGGTATTATGCAGTCACGGAAATACGAGTATATGGAGATGGGCAATCTGGAAATTATGGGTTTTGGTCTTTTGGTTAGGCGTATTTGTATAGTTTGTACATTATAGAATGAATACCTACTTGCTCAATACTCATTCGAACATTCGAAATCGTTCTTTTTTGATCAAGGGATTCAAAGTTACCTACCCTGCGATTATAGTACAATAATATATCTAAGATTAGTGTCAGCAATATTGGTATATTCAGTATTTGCATATTCAAATGATAATGATTCGCAGCTAGTGTCTTGCTGTTTTGTTACACTACACCTTCGCTCTAATTGCAAGTACTCGAGTAGAGGTTTGTTCGTTTGTTCGTTTGTTCGTTCGTTTGTTTGTGTATAATATACTCGAGGATATCTATTTTGTTATTCATATTTGCTAATATAGTAAGTATATTACGATCGGTGTATTAAGGTAAGGAAGGGTATGTAGGTGTTTATCTTACATTTTACACCTTATATCTTACACATCCCAAATTTCAATATATTGAAGATTGAAGATTGAAGATTGAAGAATGAAAAATGAAGAGGAAATATAACTGGAATCCTGGATCTTATGACGAGTGAGTATTTGAGTATGAAGGTATACTTGAGTATAAGTACAAGGACAAGGATGAGGATAAGTAGAAAATGCATCGAGTTCTCTTTCCCGCATCCCGCATCCCGCATCTTGCGATTGCGATTGCGATTATGATTACGATTATGATTATGATTATATACGAGTAATAATAATAATGTATATGGTAGATAAGCAAGTCACGGCTCTACGAGTAGGTACCTAGTGTATATCTATGTCACGGTCTCATGTAATCTTACAAGTCATTTATCTATCTCTATTGCGGTATCGTAGTATCGCGGTATCATGAAGCTTGAAGCTTGAAGCTTTAAAATCCTAGGCTCTCAGCAAAGTTATGAGTATATAACTTTCTTTGGAAGGAAGAAAGAAAGAGAGGAGAAAGAGAGGAGAGCACAAAAGCAGTGAATACTGTTTGTAAAGGGGAAGGAAAGATATCGAATTTTGTTTGAAATTGTACAAATCATTTTTGTTGTACTCCAGCTGATATACAATCTTGCTCTATTTTTCTGCTTGTAGTGATAAGTACTGTACTTTCTCATCATAATTTCCCGGTCTAGAATTAATGATAGGGAGAGAGGGAGGGCATGGCTTGTTTTTTTGTTGTCTTTGCATTATTTATAATGGTCTTTGTACAAGTACTCGAGCATTCTTATAATGGTTTCATATTTACGAGTAGAGGTAGAGGTAGAGGTAATTGCCTATACGCATTTGCATTTGCACTGATCACAAACCACATGTATCGTTCTACTCGAGTACTCGAGTATACCCTTCATTTCAGATTGGTTTAAGTAACCTTACACAGGTTTTCTGAGCCCTATATAATAATGTAAATACTTGGTAACCTACTCGAGTATTTATTTTATATAATTTCTCCTTGTACTCGAGTATGTAAAGATATCCATATCCATTTTTCACCATTTCCCAAACGGTGTATGTATAATAAATCTTCCATATTGTGAATCATAGGCTGCAATTCTATTGCCTCTCGTCTGAAATCTATCCTGATCGTGACAGTATCCAATTATTCCTCATATCTTCGCGCTAATATCGTGCGTGGTTCGGGAATCGGGGCTTTAGTCATATGGTTTGCGTGGTAAAAATGTATGTAGAGGAGTGTCATGGAGCACTTAAACTTTTTGGATGGGGTTTGGTGTGTGGTGTGTTGTGGGTCATGGAGGAGAGGAAGGAAAGAGAGAGAGAGAGGGTGGTGCTGGGATATTTGTATTTGTATTTGTATTTGCTGGGGAGATGATGGGATGGTGACTGGTAGGAGGAGTGGAGGGGAATGGATGTTGATGGCTGGGTGAACGGTTGACTTTCACTTGAAGTGGTATGGAATCTATTGGCAGGAAAAGACATCTGATTATTAGCGTTTATTGAATTCACCGCAGTGAAATCTGGCCACTGCTATACTGGGTAAATCGCAAATCAAGGCTGGAAGTTTTTAGCAGATAAATTCGTTGGAGTCTACTAGTTGTAAGTCATACGTGGTCGTTTTCTATCAATCTGAGGGGGGGTCTATCTAAAGTCTGCTTGCCACTTAATGATATTTTCTCACACTGAAAAATAAAATATGGTCACGATAATTGGCAGGTACATACTTTCTCGGATTTTAATTCTAATTAATGTGTTTCTCTGAATGGAAAAGGTTCGCATTCTTGTTTCGTGTATATTTTCACTTCCTATACTGAGTATTCTACGTTCGTTTTGCTGCTCTTGTTCATCGCTGCAATTTATCAATGATTATTATGGGACAATATCTCTGCGTAAGGTATTTCAGGATATGCTATACTTATTTATCAGTACGGATTAGCTTGAAGCTTGTAGAAAAACAGAAATGGCAGGGCAGTGTGAGGGAGTGGCTTATGACTTGCGGATTGCAGATGGTAATGTCATTGGCAGATTATTTGTAACTTTTATACCGATTCTGAACTTCCAACAATTGTTCCGATGCAATGAACATTTACGAGGGTTCTAAATCAAGTGGATGGAATATATCTTGGTATACGAGTATCATGTTGGGCGCAAGGAAACTATATAGGGCAAAGTTTCTGCAGCCCTGTATGTATATCTATCTATAGATGAATAGGCTAGTGTCTAACTGCGAAGCGAACTACTAACAACCCGCTTAGGGCTGGCTAACACAAAGTTAGTGCTTACCTGTTATATTCTGGAATTCTTGTCTTATAAGAGCATGTTCAAAAGCTGTCTAATTGGTTATTTAAAGCAATCAAGCTCATGCTTGTGTGTAAACTGGTGGTATGGGTAGGTAATAGCCTAATAGGTATACTGGTATGCTAAAATTATCATGTCCTGACGGTATGATTGTAGGGATCGGATCGACGAACGTTACGCTTTATGCATGAAGGCACTGATTTGATATGATATGATACGGGATGAGAGTTTTTTGACTTGGAGCTTCGTAAATAGCAGCTGTGAGATCCATCTTAAAGATATATTCTCTTTCTCTCCAAATTTGGAAGGATATGGGTGGCTTGGCCAAAATGAAATGCAGCATGTGCAATATGGATAGATCATGAAGATAGCTGTGAAATCCCTACGCTTTTGAGACGACCTGGGCCAAATCGTAGAAATACCATTTTGTATCTACTTCGTATATTGGAACTTGGAACTTGGATATGTATTTTTAACACGGGATGAATCTTGGTGCGTGGCTTGTACAAGCTAATCTTTGCTAGATCGCGTTGTGAGGTTCTATGTCGGAAGAAGTTTTCAAGAACTCAAGCTATGGATTTCTTGGATATCGAACTGTACAAAATATATTCATATTCATACATACTACACATAGCATGCCACCCCCCGAAAAAAAATCATCAATCACAGAACCGAATCACCCGACGAGACGTTTATCTCACTCATAATAGAACCCTCCCTACATCGATGCGGACTCCGGAAAGACTATCAGAGCAGAAACTTGAGCATACGCATACCGGTATCTAAATCAACCAACTCAACCCATAAAGTCAAGTCAATATAATAGATATATTTTTACATTTCCGCGTTCCAAGGGAATCGAGACTCTCATGCAGGAAGGAACAAGCGGATGGTGGGTTTAGCTTATGATGCTTTTTAGATTTTGCAGCAGAATAATGGGGTTCTTTCAGGATAAGATAGAAAATTAGAAATGCCGGCAAAGTCTGTATCTGTATGAAAATCTTGGAACTTGTAAGCAGAACGTGTATTCGGTGGTTGAAACGTACTATATGGGTATAGATAGGGATGGACTAAGAATATGCAGTAGGTAGTTCGCGATTTTGAAAGTATGTAATTGATAAATTCAAATGCTGGCCGCTATGGATGAACTGCTAGCAAGCTAGCAAGCCCCGCGTCATAAAAATGACATGATGCCGTATCGATGTCTCTTTTTAAGTACTACTGTACTCAAGTGCGAAAGATCTGAAGGTACTCGTAGACCTTACGACTACATACTGTACTATACAGCTGACCTGGCCGTACCCAGGAATCCAGCTTTTAGACGAGTTAACTACAGCCCAAATGTACGCTACAGTAGATAGTTGTTTAAAAGAGAAGACATCCTACGATTTATCCAGCTTTGTATCAAACTTTTAGACACTTACAACATCATCTACACAACCAAAAGCAGAACAATCCTCCCAAGATACTGTCTGGATAGATCAACCAACCCTCAATACTTGAATACTTCTGACTATCATTCTCGCAACAATCCATCGCGATATACCAACCATCAAGCCGGAAACCTTCACCAAACTCTCCACACCTCTACACTTCCCACTTTCATCTTCAAATATCGATCAAGTCACCAACATCATGAACATCCCAACCATGCTAGTATCGAAGCTTCGCCAAGCGCACGATCTCCTCACATACCCGATCACTTCAATGAATAGTCGAATTTCCCTCGGAACTCAACAGCTTCATCTACTCCCTTCAGTTACTCTCAACCAAGCCCATCGCTTCCTCGCTACTTTCCTCGAAAAGTCAAATCCTCCACCAACATTGGCACAAGTCCAAGTTGTCGAACGTAGGGCCTTGATGATCTATTTTGTGTTTGTGGCAGTTTTCGTCGCTTATGCGATGGAGGAATACGAAGGTTGGAGACGATGCTGTGTTATAGCTTTTGTCGTTTTGTGTTGCGTCGATGCTATTCTTCAGAGTCCACGTCGGGCTCTTTTGTTACAAAGTCGCCAGGGTAGAGACAAGTTGAGGAATTTGGTTGGGGCATAAGGACGTAGTATTCTCGTATCGACCGGTTTTTGGTGTTAGGGAAGGATAATTGGGTTAGGGATATATGCCTGTTTGTTCGGGTAGAATACGGCCGGGTGGCAGTTGTGGATTTGAAGGAACTCAGAGGGATTTGAGAATTTCTGGGCTGGCATTCAAGTGCTGAATGACCTCAGTCGGAGTTACTTTTTCGGGACTGAGTTTTACTGAACGAGTGGATCTTTCCAAATTATAGGCGCTTTGATATCTCGATGGTCTGCGTCAAAGATATCTCGTTGTTTATGTGTCAAGGGATTTGAGTTTGGGTTGAGTTTGAGGGCAAGTTCTTGTGTAGTGGAGGAAGGCTTTCAAAGCCTTCAACGTAGCCAGCTTTCTACAACACACATACACACCAATAGAACTATCAAAGTCTTACTTTCATGCACTTTTCTGGTGACCCTTTTTTATACACAGCACGCGGCTAACAGATTTCTGACATATGTAGTAAGACGTCAAATGAATGAAGCTTTTCAACATCTAAATTCGATTTATTATTTAAAACTTCGATATAATCTTTATTGGCTCCTTGATAGTAGAAAACGATGTAATCGATAAACTATGTCCAAAAATGGCCTTTAGGCAATAGTAAACAGCGACGCGTGTGATCGAATGCATCTATCAAGATATTAATCAAGGAGTGCCCAGATATTCCCTTTGTAGAGTCGTTAACTCTGTGGATTACCCCCGCACTTCAACCTAACTCGGAATCACTAAGAGCACATCAACTCATATGCTATCATCAACTCGCTTGTCAACCTAGCACTGCAACACAAAATTGATTAAGACTTGAGCCCCGTATAGCGTTTTTGATGATCTTTATTTTGTCCGTTGATGTTGTTTGACGGAAACTTTGTTGGCCATTACGTGTTAACGGCTCGAGAGCGAAGGAGCTCGAGAGAAAAAAACCTGCAATGTAATGAAAAGGGTGAATGAGATTCCAAGTGCTTTCTTGTATTGAACATGAGGATCCACTGGAGCAGCAATCTTATGCACTCCACAGTGAACCTTTATCCATATTTTGGTAGGAAAACTAATCCTCTGTCATGTAGTATCTTTAATCCAGTGGTGAACTCAATAATCCTTCATCAAAAAGCATATTTGAACAAATCTACTGCTTCATTATCTGAAAACGTTCCGAGCACCGAAATCTTCTCTTGAATTCAAGGCAGATGACAGCTGACATAGACAGTATTAAAGCTGGTCTCAAATAGGAAGTAATTAAAAAGCAGATGCTAGAGATAGCTTCACACATAACCCATTAAGAATAACAGTGCTCCGGAGCAGATATCACCAGAGATATATATTACCACGATGCAGGCAACACTACTCGGTAGTACACGCAGGTTTCAAAAAGCATACAACTCCAAAACTTCGAAGATGCACCCACTCAATGGAACGAGTGATTCAAATTCACTCATATCTTTTTTGCAAGTTCCCATCATCTGAAATTCATTGTTGTCAACTCTCTCATTGACATTCACAATCTCCTGTCTATGTCGTCTAAAAGTCTAAAAGTTCGTACTCCTCATCCGACCACTACAAAAATAGAACTATTCCGGCCTTCCTATTTTGACAAGCAGGGGGCTCCCAGGCCCTAGTTTTACCCCACTATTTTCTCAACATGGGCTGTGGATCACTGGCGGTGATGACTCAATGCAGAGAGATATTTTGATATAAAGTCGATGTTTGGTGACATTTTCGAAATAATATACATTTTGTTACCGATATTCAATACTTCAACTATTGTACTGTAAGATATCATTTGTTCTCCGGATTTGCATCCTCGGTAATCACGTTCGTTCACTTACTAGATCTGAGATTGTTCCTCATCTCATCCATCTCGTGCCCAAGACAACGCATATCATATCAGTCACGTTCTTCCTGCATCTCGTGAGGACTGGGACTGTGACTGTGACTCGAACTTTCAACATGTGGGACAAATTGATCAACGAGGACAAGATGGGAGAAAATGCCGAGGAATCTCACATCTCTTCCCATAGCAATGGCAATAGCAATGGAGGGAATGAAGTTGATACGATAACCACATCACCAGCTTCCTCTCCACCTGGAACAGATGTTCAATTCTACATACACCCACAGAACACCATCTCCGAAACGTTAATCCCAATTCTCTACAAAAATCTCCCATACAGCAACCCCATCTACAGCCGAATGCTCGCTCCCCACAACATACCCTCGCGTCACTGTCTGTTCGCCGCCACATTTCCCCCAAACGACCCAGTTCCCGCACTATACACCATCGTCTTCTCTGACCGATCCCGCAAAAACGAATCTCAAATCTGGATCTTCAACCCTTTAATCACCCCAAGCTATCCCCAACCGCTCTCCCAAGAGCACTCTTCCTCCCTCACCACCCACCTTCAAGTCCTCCTCACATTCCTAAAAAATACCATTATCCCCCAAGCTCCAGGTCATCCATTCGACCCAATTCTTAAATTCGCCTGTCTTCACGAAACTATCACAGACTCGCTAACTACTCTCCTCGCTTCCCAATCTGCATCCCAACCCTCATCAGTACCTACATCTACACCCCTCATCGCCCATCACACAACCTGGAACCTTTACCTAATCCCCACCACCCCCTCCACTCACCTCCTATCTTACCCTCCACCCCACCCTTTCACCATCTCCCGCGTCCCACCCCAGCACATCCCCCTCGTAATATCCACCTCCGCCATTCCACGCGAAGCGTCTACCCTCCTCGCACAACCCTCCCTCTGTCTCCTTACACCCTCTTCCCCCTCTTCCCCTTCCTCCTCCTCCTCTCCCCCCTCCCAAACATCCTCCACCTCCTCCCCTCCCTCCCCCCAACAAATAACCACCTGGTCCTACATCGGCATCGACGGCACCCTCTCCACCCTCTACGTACTTCCCACCCACCGAAACCTCGGTCTCGCCACCTACATAGCCCGCGAGCTAGTCGGACGACTAGGGCGTGGCGAATTTAAAGATCTAGGGTTTAATGGGGAGAGTGGGTGGGTGCATGCGGATGTGAAAGAGGGGAATGTGGGAAGTGAGGGGGTGATGAGGGCGCTTGGGGGGAAGAAGGCGTGGGTGAGTAGTTATCTTTGGGTTGATTGTGGGGGGTTGCATGGGTGATTGGGGGTGTAAATTGGTGTGGGGTGGGAGGAGGATGAGTAGAAGGAGATGTAGAAGGTGGAAGTAGAGAATCATGTCATTGTCCGAAAATCTCAAATGGTTCAGATGTAAAACGTAATCTAAAATGCTGATTGCTAGATTCGCAAGACTCAGATTGTAAGTGAATATATACTCGAGTTCTCCACCCATCATGAAAGTCGTCAACATGTCTTATAAATCATGTATATATCATTAAACATCATATCCCCTCACCCCTCTCCCTTTCCCCGTTTAACCAATTCCCCATAGAAACGCATATGCATATACCCGCAAAATAAAAAAACACATTGCCTCCCACATCTCATCCTCCCCCCTTAATTCCCAGCATCTCCCCCTCCATCCTCCAAAATTCTCACATAAGGCGCAGGAAACAATCCCTTTCCACCCATATAACATCCCCAAAACCAATCCCCATTAACATCCTTGCACTCCCTCACCTCCGCTCCCTTCGGAAACATTAATTCATCACTCGCCCCCTCCGCAGGCCACCAACTCCAAACTGCTAAACTCGACATTCCGATTCCTCCATCAGGTGGAAATGACCTTTCAATCGTTATTCCCGGGACAGATGTCGGCGCAGTTTTCGATGGATCCGTTGTTACGAGTCTAACAAAAGTATCATTGTCTTGTCCCCAGCTCCATTTCTGTAATTCGGGCACTGTAAGATCAGCTGATGGGTAAAGCATGGGCTCGGTATCGAGACTATGACCACCGACAAGGTCTTGGACTATCACTCTACGTTGACCACCGCGGTCATCTTCAAATCCCACGATTACCATACGGTGACCCTGCAAACAACGTCGCCAGCCATTGTGGCCATTCTCGACGCTGATTCGGCGAGATGCGACGAGTTTGGGGTAGCAGGTTGTACAAATATCGTAGTCACCGGGTTGAGTGTCGGGGACGGCACTGATGCAAGAGTAGCAATGATAGCGCGTGGAAGAGGGTTGAATAGGATAGCGACAGGTGTCGCAGTTAGTAGAAAATGTGAGAGGTTTAAAATTACCCATCTCGATGACGCCAGGCCCCTTAAGAATAGTCGCCGACTGTGGAAGCTGCTGTTCATGTGTATGAGATAAGGGAGGTGTGTATGACTCCGATGGTCTGTAAGTCAAAGGGAGAAGAGAATGTGTACACGATCTGCCTTGATTGACACATAGGTTGCAAAATCCCCAATCACCATGATTGCAAATATCGCAACGCCAGTAACATTCATTCGTCCAAGCTAGGCAACTGACACAGAATGCACCACTTTGAAGACGTTTCTGAGGGTCTTCTGTCGTGAGGGTTTTACGACCGTCCGCTCCACCTGCTGACGTCTTCGGTGCTAGGTAGCGATTTGCTGTGAGCATGTGTGGTCTATCTATGCCCTGCGGTAACTTCCCGGCTTGCATTTGGTTTTCCCAGTTTGTCCACGCCGAGTAGCCAAACCCGAACCAGTGTAGACATCCTGCGCCGGAGCGATAGCATGAGAAACAGATGTTATAATTACCACGCAAGCAACTTGAACAGTTATAATGCAGTTCATATTCGATGTGAGTTTTCTGACATCTTCTACAAGCTATTGATGGTTCAGGGTAAAGCTGTGTTCGTGGCCTAGACCCTACAGAATGAGAAGAACTAGGTCTGCTGCCACTTGATAAAGCAGCGGCTTTGTCAAGAATTGATAGGTGAGTGGGAGTATGCGGCGAGAGAGGTGCGGGTACGAGTGACTCATCCATGTATGGAACTGACGCAGGAACAGCAGAGGCTACGAAAATATCTGCTGGGGCTTGAACACGAGTACTCAGTGGAGCTGGCATGGAAGGCATATCGTCCGAATGAGATCTTTCTGGTAAGCTATTGCTCGATGTTCTTGGTGTTGAATTTGGGACAGATGCGATGGGTGTATTGTTGGATGACCTTGCGGTAGAGCCTGTTTGTGGTTGCTGTTCTCGAATTGTTGATGGTTCACTGAAACGCTGCACATTTGAGTCAGTGCTCCTCCTGGCATGGGCTCTCAAAGGCTGAGATGTTTGCATGGAAGAGGTCCTAGGTAGGGTGCTCAAATCGGTCTGGGACCAAGCGGTTGATCTTGTTTCAGATGTAAGTGTAGGAATAGGCGCTGTTGAACTTCGTGGCGCGCTTAGAGTTCTCTGTCTTCTTCGTCCTCCAGCACTTGGACCGACCTCTAGGTGATTTGCATGTACTGCACTTATAGATGGCGGGGGTCTGCTTTGTTCATTGTTCAGACTAGCTGACCTTGGTGAGGAAGATTGGTTTCTGTGTCGTCTTGTAGCTCTGGGTGCATCATCACCGGACGTATCTCTTCCAGAATCTGTGGGTGATACTCGGTGAGCCGGTCTGCGTCTACCCGCTGCCTCACCTTCACTCCTTCTAGTCGATTGAAATCTCGATCTTTCTCCTTGCCGCCTCCTGAAAGCTTCCGCTATTCTTTCACTAATCTGGTCCTCCTGGTTAACATCAATATTCTCAAGGTCAATTCCATCCAATAATCCTTCCTCCCTAATCTGTCGTAGAATCTCTTCTTCCATCTCCCTTGAATCGATATCGGAAGAACTAATGAGTGACCGCAAAGATGATTGATGTTCAATCTGTCGTGCCGCTGACCGACTTGTTTCCTCATGTCTCCTTATTGCTTCAGCCTCACTGTATTCCCTTCGTCGGCCGCCTTCAGAGTCGCTATGATCCGGTTCCGGTTCCGGTCTTAACGCAGATGTTCCTTGTCGGGCTCTTCTCCTTTCGTGATGCTCCTCTCTTCGCCTTCGTCGATCCGCATCGTCCGTACTTCTATTATCCCTACTATTATTACGACTCGAATGATGTCTCGAACTATGTGACCTATCGCCATCCCGCTCCCGTCGCCTTCTTTCCCTCCTTGCTTCTGAACTTTCCACCCCCACTTCCCTCAAGCTCAAATCTCTTACTTCCTCAATCAATCTTTGGTCCTCATCCTCCAACCTTCTCTCTCTTGAGCTCTTCTCCCTCTTCTCCCATTTCGGTAACACTTCATCTCCAACCTTATATTTGGCAGCAACTTCCTCCTTCTCCTCAGCCGTCCTACCCTTATCTGGACTCCGCGCCAAGAACATATCTAGCAGTGTCACTATTGTAGAACTATGTTTCGTATCTCGAACGGATGCGCGACATGACGGGCATGTGTATGGTGTACCACCGGGTGGGATAGGTATTTGGGCATTGCGGAGGGAAACAAGTTGCCATGAAAACCATTCTTTGAGACAAGAACCGCAGAACGTATGTAAACAATCCAGTAGCGTTAATGGTTGATATAAAACCTCTGTGCAAATCTATATACAGTCAGACTCAATAATCTATTCTTCAAGATAGATACGGCTGCAGATTCAAGCCCAGACGGGTACAATTTGCGGGGTAAGGCTTCTGGATTTAGGGACATTTAATTTTTAACTCACAGAACAAGTCAACTCCTTCTCAAGGTCGAGACCTCGATTTTCGGAGCCAGAATCCATGATTCTTCCTACAAAGATATGTAGGTTTGTGATGGAAGTGGAGTTGCAAAAGAAAGGTCATGATTGTGCTGGGCAATGAAGAAAAATATATTGATCTGTGGCGCGATACGATACGATGGTGATTGAGGAACACGGGGGTTCGGCACGCACGGGCTGGGCTGGCTTGACTAGGTATGAAAGAACGTTGGATTTTCTCGTATTATATATTATTTTTGAACTTCATAATTCTTACATGAATAATTTGGTAAGGATTTCAAGGAGAATCGTGTTTTGTCCATGGTGTGAAAGAGGTGTGTTTGATTTTCCGGTGTGGTTTGTATAGGTCGTGACGCATTTAGTGATTTGGCGGGGGAGGGGAAGGAAGGGAAGGAGAAGGAAGGGGGTTTCAGAGCATCAATATCGATAATCGCTCACTCTTTCGGACGAGACAAGATAGCAATTATGTGATGGATGAACAACCCTTTGCAAAGCTGCTCACAAGAATTTCTTCATGATATTAAGTCAATAGGTTTGCAACATGGGTTGTCTAGTTTTCAACGATTTCCTCTCTTTTATATACCTAGACAGATGCCATTAGAAATGGTGATCTCTTTGCATTCAACCTTGGATGGATTCTCATTCGATGGGTGAATTCGGGATTTCATGTCCAATTATATGCTAATACAATGTCGCGTGACAGCAAGGCTGTGTGCGATCGAAAGCTTATTATAGTCACGCTTGTATGATGGGCTTCACAAACCTTGAATGTTTCCCCTCGAGTGTCTGAGAATATCCCTCTGGACTGTATCTCTATCATAGCAAGGTCCGTCGCAATGTATCCAGCTATATTTCTCCAAAGCTCTACCGCACAGCATACCGTTGATACCATTACTGTCAGTCCGTCAGTGGCTTTATACTCTCAAACACCTTCCCAATCACGACCGTAATCTTCGAGTATACAGTTTTAAGTCCAAGATCCGAATCAAGCTCAACTTCGAGGTCAGCCAGTTTTTCTTTCAGGTTTTCAAAGACTCTTAGAGTTGAAGTGGTAAGAGATCAGAAAGTGACCTAAAAAGAGGGCTTATCAGTGATTAGTGGACAAGTGTTGGAACCTTCCGTGGTTATTGCAAGATTTACATTCTCATTTGGAATAAGATACAAGACGAGCATGTCCAGTGCTGTGGCCTGAGTAGGCATACGGAAGTCCATCTAGCAGCACAATCAGGGGGTTGCTCATTATTGGAGAATTTTGACACCCTTGTCGAGATTTCAGAGCTCGTGCAGGAGTTTTGAATCTATCACCAGTGAATCATATATATGGCAACCGCAAGGCGATTGATAACTACATCGTAATGCTCATTACCACTGATTTCGGATTTAAAGCAACACTGCAAATCTTCAACGTCACCTCGGATATCAGATGAATCTCTGTTCGATTTCGTTGAGACCATCCAGTTATCATTGTATATTACAATATACTCGAAAAGGTATTCGCACCTCAACAACCAGACCGTTGATCCTTCTGAAAGCCGACCCTATCTTGAATACTCAAATACTAATGATGGTGTTACCTGGAAAAACATGACTCATTGTGTTCCCACGCGATATATTCGTATTCCTAGCCTACTCTACAATTACAACTACTCACTTGACAGAACCAAAAATAAGCGAACAATATGGATCGACGAGGCAGAAGTGGCCACTAAGTAGAATACCTGAGTAACTATGGTTCTTTTCCTCGAAAATAGGTTCTCTCACAATTTCCTCTTATATTTTGCTTTGCATTCAAAACTTCCAGATTCACAGAGCAAGGCAGCTCGATGACTCAACACACAAGCTTTCAAACCCATTGCTATTCTATTATTATTCACAATTGGGAGATATATGAATTCCTCGATGACTCGTCAACGACAACTTTTTGGAAATTCGTATCGTGAATACACATCATGAATGCAAACAATAAAATCATGATTTTACCACCTTCAAAGAGCATTCACACCCAAGTCACCATCTTTATCATGAATCATAGATACATATCATGTCACAGCTATATAGTTCTTCATCCATTCCCCCTCGCCATCCAATTTACTTTTCTCAATACCAAATAGTACACACCAGATTAAAATACTATCTTTAAATATCATCACAATGACTACCTACGAGGCCGTACCTAATACCGATGGCCAAATACTCATTCCCGCTGGAGCGAAAGTCCCTGTCATTCCTAAACCAAAAATACCTCGTACTACACTGCCTCTACGACGACCACCAGGACGACCACCCGGACGACCACCCGGTAGCGGTATTTCTGCTCCAGCACGACCGCGATCCCCACCGGTCCGTAGACATATCCAAAGACATATTGTCCAACCATCAGATCCTTTGCGACCACAGAAATATCAAACTTCAAACACCAAACTGAGCGGCAGACTCGAACGCCAAGAAATCGCTGCTAGACAATGGCATGCCGCTCGTTCCCGTTTCCGTCACGTTCCGATTGCTATCCGTTCCACCCTGAACCAAAGAAGTTTGCCTACTAGGTCAGAGTCCCTGGTGGTAAGGAGAGAGGAAACACTTGCAAAAGCGGACGAGAAGAAGGATGAGAGAAAGGATGTCAATAAGATGTCTCTTTCGTATATCATGGGACCTTCGCTCAGTACTCAGGAACTCCCGCCTGTTTCGGAGGATACAGAGAGGAAAGTTATTCACTTGACTATGTCTTCCGAAACTAAAAATGAGTATGAAGCTAGAGACGAAGACGAGGACACGGAGGAAGAGGATATATCGCTGGTACATAAGAAAGATTCACACGCGCGTGATATTTACTGTGCTCCTTTCTCCACCAATAATCGCATAAATATTCCGGTCATATCAGATACTCCTAACGCCAAAAATCGCATCGTTGACCCAAATACCATCACTCCTCTACAGGATGCTTTACTCAATACACCCGTGAAGATTGAGGGCGTCGAACAACTTGCCAGAAACTGTAAGTTTGGTGAGAACACAGAGACAGCTGATATCGTATTCAGAGCCGGCCGCAAGCTACCACCTATTCCGATAAGAGGCACTGCTTGCCGTCACACTGATTCGAATATCATGGCTTTGTCACCATTCGCATCAGTGATTCCCGCTCCAAAGGCTACATCCCCGGCTACCATCAGCACTCTCGAAGACGCGGCTGCGACAACACTCGCCAGTCTCAACCACCTTCTAGATTCGAATACGTTGATCTCTGCTCCTACTGTCACGTCAGCTTCAAGCCCAAACATATCGGTTGAAACCCATCAAAGCCCCGAAACCTTCACTCGGAAGCGATCTTTATCTCTCATCTCTACGTCAAATCCAACACAACCCCCCAAATCCAAATCACCTGTGTCATCTACAACAACTGGATTTGAGCCAGCAACAAAGAAGATATGTATTGACTCTCTTCTGCACATTGTCTCAAATTCATCGTCCAACTTTCCTCCTCTAGCTCCAACTCCACCATCTACCCAAATTCAAACTACTAACCCTCCCAGAACCCAAACGCCTAGCCAACATACACACAATCTCCCCAGCGATTCTCGGCACGATACGTTAATGCCCCCTCCACCTTCAGACGCCTATCCATCTCCACCGGCACCACCAACACGATCACCAGGCCCATCACCATCAGCATCTCAAATTCACACCTCAATTCCCAGCAGGTCTGTTCCAAAAACCCTAATTCTAAGAAATCCAATTCCGAGCAAGGAAACCCCAACTCCAAACCCACAAACCCACCTCCTTTTCTTCGACAACCAAGCCTACTCACCCCTCCCCTTTCCTCTCCCCGTCCCATCCTCAACTCTTCCCCGCTCAACCTCGGCCCCACCCACATCCTCATCCCCATGCACGCCCACGAATTTCCAGTCCAAGCCGCTCCCACGCAAAAACATCATCTACAGAGCCTGGAAGCTGCGTCCCTCTCAATCTACACTCATTGGCCTTCCCCCTTCTCAAACCCCCAAATACTTAGTCGTGGTCCGTAATGACGATCGATCCACTCAATCCTCTTCCAGCGACCATGATGGAAATTTCGGGAAATGGTGGGGTGTAATTGATGGAAAGGAGGACATGGAGGAGATCAAGAAGTTACTTGGATGATGATGGAATGCTGGATAAAGAGAAACTATTAGCACTAGACTATAGAAGAAAGATTTTGTTGGCGCTGAGCGCTTAAAGAGGAAGTCAGGTTGGAGATCGGTGGCTTTGTCAATAGCGAAACGAAATTTAACGAAATGAACGCACGAGGTTTGCTGCGTATGGTATTGCGATCGCATGTATTCACCACGTACTGCATGGATGGTGTAGTATATTGTGATATAGCATGATACCAATATCAATATATTTTCTCACACCAATCTGAACACAGATACACATGTATGAAATTGAAACCGTGAGTGAATATATGAATGTATACAGGCAGTCAACCTCATTCCCCAACTCCAATCATAAATACAGGAGCTATTCCATGAATCAAATGCTAGTCCAGTCTGACTACAAACGAATCAAATCCCTTCAACCGAAACTCCATTGTTATACCTAGCTACCTACCTACCTACCTACTTGCTTTACCTCGCTGTGTATTTACTATTTTCCCCTTTCCTTTTCCTTTTCCTTTTCCCTTTCCCTTTCCTTCGAAGCTTAATTGTACTTTAAGCAACCAACTACTCGAGTAGTATGGAAACAGAACAGCAAGGAGTTCCATTCAACGATACGAAGTGCAAGGCAAGTCTACAAAGGTTTCTTCTGTATGGCACGTAGTACTGAGAGTATATCATACAAAATTATAAACAAAAAACCGCCATCGCTTGATTCGCTTCCTTCATGGACCCCCTATATGATTACCAAGAGTATTTCCTCGAGTCATGCTGGTATACATATGCTATACGAGTACACATATTATATCATTCATCAATATTAATCGACACTATCTACGGAATCTATGCAAGCCAAGTCATTTTTGAGTCCCCCTCGTAGTATTCTCTCCCCGGAAGGTATTCTTCTAAAGGGAATCAAATGACCATACGTGTATGTAGTCTTGAACTGCAAGACTACAACGTAGGTTTGGCGCACCTCAACCTTCACCTCAACACTTTCAATAATCCGAAAACTACGAAAATCCCAACAGGTCGACACAACACCACCTTGCGAAAATCTCCTTTCCTCATTCACCCCTTTACTTTTCGCTTCATATCTTTTATGACAAATCTCTTAGACTGTTCCGAACTCACTGAAAACTCTTAAACATTAATTTTCTAACTGAACGTTAAGTACTCATCATCTCAAAGTGGTGATAAATACACAAACTTCACTTTATGCCACTCGAATCTCCAATTCAAGACTGGCATCGCACATCTTCTCCAGCAGCCTCATCCATCGAATGTCAACATCAAGCATCATAATCGAAACATTGCACCCACAGTTTTCGCCAATGCATGAAAATAATGTAAGATCTTACAATATTATGTATTTTTGATTGATGGTCCTCTATCATTCTTAGTCTAATCGTCACTCTTTACGACAAGTGTAGCAATGCGACTCGCACAGCAAACTACTGTTGTGGTCCATGTGAAATCCAAAAAAAATGAAAAAAAAATAGTAATTGTATAGTATCTAAGCAAGCAAGGTAATCTGTGATCTGGGAATGTGATTATGCAATCTTTGATAAGAAAGCTGATTCTTCAATTTGAAGTTATACCGGATACATACTCGAGTATTGTTCGGAATAACCATATGAACCGAAGCCGAAGAGTACGTATCCGGTAAGATTAGCCTTCTGCATAGACACTCATAGTAATTTGCTGTCCGAGTCTCTACGAGACGAAGGAAACCTCAGAATAGTCCTCTATAGCGATGCTATAATATGATCTGACATATTATATGATATTTCTTCGCGAGATATAAAAGGGGTATTATACAGTACAAGTACAGTTCCAGCTGACGTTCATTTTGTCACGTCATGTTCTCGGAGATGTCCATTTAATCTCATCTCATCCACCGGTGTAGGTCTCCGGTCTTTGAACCAGACCGTCGCTTCTATCCTCAACCTCAACTCTCCACTTCCGTTACAGGAATTGGTGGAATGCTCGATTGCTCTTCTTTCTTCTCCTGCTCCATATCCACATCCTCGTTCCCCAGCGGCTGTAATTTTAACCCCTCATCACCCTCTCCGATTTTCGGCTCCCCACTCTCTAGTACGTCCTCATCGCCAGGAGTGATGAGGTCTTCCGGCTTAACATCATCCTTGAATATTTCATCGATGCTATCAGATTTTTCAATTTTGTCAAACGCTGCAAGTTTGCAAGCACTAGCTATCCGTAGTGTCCTCCAACATTTGCTTGCCTTAGCTTCTATAGCCACATTTTTCGATTCTTCGTCCCGAGCCATGTCGATATCCATATCATCCAGATCGATCTTATTTTTGAAGCTTTTAATGGAGGGAATTTGGTACCGTTCTGGTTTCTTAAGCCTCTCTAAACCACTTTGTAGGTCGTTTTCCGCAAGAAACTTGAGGTCTAAGGATCCTAATGGGTTGGGGCGTAATCGTTTATTAGTTGTGGCTTTGCGCGCTGATGCTTTCGCGGTGATAAAATCTTGGGGTGATACGGGTGGCCTGGCAATAGAAGGGCAATTTTCAACCTTCCAACGAACCCAATTTTTATCTCTCGAGAGAACGGTCTCAACCATGCGATAGAAGAATGCACCGTCCGCACCTTTCTTCAAATATTCGGCAATCGACTTTTTCATATCTAATGACCACTTTGTCTATAAAATGTCAGCTACCATTTGGAAAGATGAAACATTTGAGGGAAAGAGGGGCACATACATCCTCCTCGCTGAGTGTTTGATCTGCATAAGTGACTGATCTATTAAGGTTCTCTGGTAACGCTTTTGAAAGCTTCTCTTTTGCTTTGATGCTTAATGAAAGAAGGAAATCCATTATTATTAAGATCTGGACAAGTATATGCCTTCTAAATGATAAGTCGCTGATCTAACAACTTTAAATTAGATTTGTAATATCCTTGTGGGTGATGGGAGATGGCATACCTCTAACTCGAACAAATCCCTACTTGTGAGATATTTGGGGTTGAAAGAATTGGCTAAGTCATCGTCTCCTTGACTGCGCTTTCTTTTTGTTCCTCTCTTATTATCCTCTGCCGCTCGTGCCGCTGGGCGCCCCCCTGTGGCTTCATGCTGTACCGACTTAAATGTAGCTATTGTAGCTTCCAGACCATTCTTGAATTCAGCAAAATTCTCGGCGTTGAACAGTTTTTTTGGCTGGCTAAAGCTCTGTTGTAAAAGCCAGAAAATCGGGTAGAGCTCGTCAGGTTTCATTGGCGGTTCACGTTTTAGAGATGCCGCATCCTTGCCGGAACCATTGCTTTCTTCAGAACCTCTCGCCGTGCTGGTCCGTCCATTTGAGGTTGGCTTAATGACTGGTGGAGATGTTTTCGTGTTGCTGTCCGAATCCACTTCCATCTTTTCAGTATCCATCGAACTGAGCGGTAGGGTGTCAAAAGACGTGACATTTTCGACATGAAATTCGCCACGTAAATTCACAGAACTCTTGTCGCCAAGGGGGAAGCTTTGAAACATAAAAATAAACACGCGACCACAGAATGCCGTATCCTCGGCCCTGGAAAGTCGCCGCAGGAGCTCGTTGCAGCTTCTCAAAATAACCAAGTTTTTTTGGGCGAAATGCTTTGCAGTAATCTTCTCACGTCTTGACTCAAGGTAATCAAATATCCTTCGGCACCCAGCAATCGTCTGACTATCCAGCAATTCTTCAACGAGCCAAAATAAAAGGGCAGGTTCGCATTGTTCGTCGTCGGAAAGAATAGAGATGATATCGAGAAGGTTCCATAATCGAGCAGAAGAGGGGGTTTCAATAGAAATAGAGGCCTATGGGTCGTCAGAGTGTGTCTACCGCTCGTACTGGTGCGAGGCTTACCAGTAAATTGTTGAAGGTATCTCGAACAGCGGTTTCGATGATCGCATACTGACTGCGTTTTTTCGACTCTAAAGATGCTACTTCGCTGAATATCCGATCGATTCGTTCGTACGTATTCGCAAGATCCGTTTTGTTCAATGGCGACTCTATAGTATGTGTTTGTTTGACCGAATCAGCCTGCTGAAGCATCTCCAACAATAACTGCTCAAAGGCGTCCACCATTGGTAAACCATGGCCCTCCATGCTAACAATCGATCGGTAATATAATCTCAATTCGACAGTTCTTTCCGTACTGGCGCAGGTAAAGATCTGTGGTGTGGAAGTTCTGGTGGCAGAATTAATTGTCGCGTGAAGTTGACGAACGCTATCGCAACATCGATCTACATATATCGATGAAATTCCGCTTAGTCATCACGCGTGAGCACCAAGCTTCCAAAAAGAATCTGGACGATAAGATGTTCACATGCGACCGACGCGCGCAATACGAATTGCCAGTCTATACCACAAGTAACAACAATGGCTCCGAGGACGAAAGGAAGAGGTCATGGGAAGGCTGTTGATGAAACTATGGGAGTGGCACCCGCGGAGGAATCACAGAATGAAAGCTCATTTGCGCAACTTGCCGCAAAACATTGGTTAAAGCCTTCGAAGAAGTCCGCGAAGGTCAAGGTCAAGCAGGACGTTATCAAGAAAGAAATATGGGATGTTTTAGAGCATGAGCATTTCTCATTTAGGTCGCTTTTGATACTGGAAAATCTACATATCCTTGAGAAGTACTTTCATCCATCCAAACTCTTGAATTAGGGATCTACTTCTGACAACAATGCCAGTTATCTTTGGCCAGGTTATTCAGAAGATGCTTCCAATTTTCACATACTTCTCATAGTCCTCATCGTAAATGTAAGGACTAGAGAACATTTGCCTACTTGGGGTGAGTGCTGTTAAAGGAAAGCTTGCATGCGTTGTACTGATGAACGTAGATATTTTTGCGGACAATACACCCGATTTCTCTACCCTCTTTCGACGAATCTTATCTATGACATTGGATACTACCCTTTCTGCGACAATACGAACAAATCTCTTGTCATTCATAATAAGTGCATTTCAGTCTTTAGACAATGGCATAGTTCGGAAAGAATGCGCACCTCTGGTGTCAATATCTATCTGGCACAACATTTCGAGCGAGAAGAAGAGAGAAAAGATACTCGATCACACTGTACAACTGAAGAAAGCTTGGAGGGCGGCAGCGAAACGATACGATGCCTCTGACGAGCCTACGAAAGCTCGACTTCGATTTGAGCGCTCCTGGCTTTTAACTCTGATTCTTGACTTTTTCAATCAACTTTACGGGGAGAAAATAAAGTCTGGTACGTCGAAACTCTTGTTATCACTATTATTCTGCGCTGACACCTGAAACAGAAAACGTACAGTATTGTGAAAGGTTCATAGAGTTTTTATCAGATCTCCAGAGTCAATTACCAACCAGGAGATATATGAACACACTTTTACAAGATTTGCACATTCTCCCAACTATCAGACTATCTCCAGCATTCAATGACGAGGAGAACGGGCTTCTACGAGATCTTTATGCTCTTCTTAAGCATTATACATACTTTGCAATTAATGACCATACAGGTGCTCAGCATAGCCGCACGGAAGCATATGAACGCCATTGTGCAACTTTAGCGTCCCTGCAGAGGACTGCACTCAAACACTTCAAGGACAAGCTGACTATCCTTGCTTTGTCCAATTATTCGTCCATCGACAAGCGGGTGGAGCTTGAGGGTCATTTAGAATCCCTTACAGATGCTGAGATGACAGAGCTCTGCGATCATCTTGATTTGCGGACATCTTATCCGCCATCTACCAAGGTTGTTGTAGATCGTGGATTCCTTGTGGAGATTCTTCTATCGACACATGAAAAGCGCAAGACGTTCCAAGAAACCGCCCGTGACTTGAGCATCCTTCCAACAGAGAGTACTCTTTTTGAAAGAACCCTGCTCAGAAATGATGGATTTGATGGGTCACAACCCTTGGCAATCCCGAAGCTGAATTTGCAATATTTGACCGTTGGAGACTTCTTGTGGCGATCATTTATATTGCATCGATGTGAATCGTTTTACGAGATCAGACGAGATGTCGAGGACACAATAAAACGACTCCGACCTGTAGCTGGCAGAACAGGGCAAACAAGTTTTGAAGGATTTTCCAAGATGGCACTGCCGATAACGAAACCTTCGTAAGTATAGCCTTAATTTTCCATTGCGATCCCCCCTAACCAGTCTGTAGTATTCTTGAAGTGGTACCTCCCCTTGTAGGAGACGACAACCCAGCCGTCGTCCGGGCCGAAGTCACACTTGATGTCAGTCGCATGGCTGAAAACATTCGTCGAGAATGGGATTCATTACGGCCCGATGACGTGATCTTCCTGCTTTCCGTGCAAGCCACTAATGAGTCTGCTATGATCTCGAACAGCGGTGCGACGCCTTCGGACGCGCAAAATTCAGGTCTGAGATATCTCCGCGCTGCCGAAGTCATCCAAGTTCAAGATGATCATGGGCGCTCGTTAATGAACTACAATGGTCAAGTGAATGGTAATGCTCGCGCTGGTTCGCGAAGACTACAGTTGAAACTCGACGCAGCCATGTATAAAGAGGACAAAGATCGCGTCGATAAAGGCAAGCCTGATATTTACGAGACTATGAACGTTATTGTTCGCAGAAGAGGACGTGAAAACAATTTCAAACCCATCCTCGAATCGATAAGAAGTCTTACCTTATTTGACGTCCCCCTGGCTCCTTGGCTCCATGAGGTATTTCTAGGCTATGGTGATCCTGCGGGAGCCAGTTATACTAGACTATCAAATCAGCTCAAAAAGGTCGACTATCGAGACACATTTCTTGACTGGCAACATCTTATTGAAAGCTTACCCGGTAGGACGGTTGAGCCAAGCGATGATGTTACGGGTAGTTTTGGACCACCCTACGTTTTGCAAACGGTGGCGAAAGCTGCTGAACCACCAGCCAGACCAACGAAAAAGAGACGCAGAGAAGCAGAACCTACACCAAAGGAGGAGCCACAAGCCATCCAGGTCTCTTCTTATAAACCTCCAAGTACAGGACCATACCCTATGGACGCCCCTAAATTAAATCAAGTCCGTTTTACCCCTACTCAAATCGAAGCAATTATCTCTGGCACGCAACCCGGTCTCACCGTTATTGTTGGTCCTCCAGGAACTGGCAAGACGGATGTTGCAACCCAGATCATCAACAATCTATATCACAACTTCCCTAACCAGCGCACTCTTCTTATTGCGCATAGTAATCAGGCGCTCAATCAATTGTTCCAGAAAATTGTTGCTCTGGATATTGATCAACGCCATCTTCTACGGCTGGGGCATGGTGAGGAGGAACTAGACACTGAAACGAATTTCAGTAAACACGGACGTGTCGAGTCTTTCCTTGAAAATAGAGATGGTTACCTTAGAGAGGTTGATCGTCTTGCTGCCAATTTTGGCGCCCCAGGTGCTCATGGAAGTTCAGCAGAGACAGCTGGGTACTTTAACTCAGTTTACGTTGAGCCGGCATGGACAAGATTCCAGGAAGTTATGAAGGGTCCGGAGTTAACATCTGAGTCGATTGTCTCTGCATTTCCCTTTCACTACTACTTTTCGAATGCCCCTCAGCCTCTTTTCCCTCCTGGTGCTGATAAGGATGCCGTCGTTGATGTAGCTACGGGATGTTATCATCATATTACTAAAATATTCGCGGAGCTTGAAGATGTTCGACCATTTGAGATACTGCGACGCGATCGGGATAAGGCGAACTATCTTCTTACTAATGAAGCTCGAATCATTGCGATGACATCTACACATGCAGCCATGAGAAGACGTGAAATATCATCACTTGGCTTTCACTACGACAATGTTGTGATGGAAGAGGCAGCTCAGATCACTGAAATCGAGAATTTCATACCTATGGCGTTGCAGAAGCCAAACAGTGGCAAAACTCCTCTTCAGCGTGTAGTTTTATGTGGTGACCACTTCCAAAACTCTCCCGTCATTCAAAATCTTGCATTCCGCCACTACGCAAACCTTGAACAATCGCTCTTCTCTCGCCTTGTTCGCTTGGGCGTTCCAACCATCAATCTCGATCAACAAGGTCGTGCTCGTCCGTCTATTGCATCTCTCTACTCCTGGCGCTACAAAAACCTTGGTAACCTACCAATCGTATCAACCACGCCTGAATATCAAACCGCAAATGCGGGTTTCAAATACGACTATCAATTCATTCAAGTACCTGATTACAAAGGCAAGGGTGAAATGGAGCCAACTCCTCATTTCATTCAGAACTTAGGAGAAGCAGAATATGCAGTCGCCATCTACCAGTATATGCGATTACTTGGATATCCAGCTTCGAAGATCAGCATATTGTCCACATATGCTGGTCAGCGTGCACTAATCAAAGATGTCCTATCGCATCGATGTGCAAAGAACCCTCTATTTGGTCTCCCAAAAATCGTCACAACAGTCGATAAATATCAAGGAGAACAAAATGACTGTAAGTTTCCTCGAGATTGTTTCCTTCCGAACAAATCACTAACAAAATCTTAGATGTTATTCTTTCCCTCACTCGTACATCACGCGTCGGCTATCTTCGCGACATCAGACGTCTTACGGTTGCACTGTCTCGCGCTCGCCTCGGCCTTTATATTTTGGGACGACGGGAGATCTTTGAATACTGTTTTGAGCTAAAACAAGCCTTTGATATCTTATTATCTAGACCTGATAAATTGATGCTGAGTACCGGGGAGATGTGGCCAAGTCAGAGGATACTGACAGATGAGGAGGGACTAGAGTCGGTACAAGGTGAAGCAGTGATGGAGGGATTAGAACATCTAGGTCAATATGTTTTTGAGATGACCAACTCTAAGATAAGGCAGTTGAGAGAAGAGAGGGGATTGCCGGAGGGTGGAGCTGAGTCTCTAGCCGTTATTGAGGAGGGAAAGGTGGTTGGGGATGGCGATGAGGATGGAGAGAGGTTCGAGGCTTTGGAGGAAGATAATGAGCTTCCTGGAGGTGAAGATGAATTTGATGGCGTTGATTGATAATACACATGGAAAGAATTTTGGCAAGACGAAATAATCACTGATAGATTTATGGATGAAGGGGGATAAAGATGATTCTTGAACGCCATCTGCGGAATTGTATTGTATGTGACTCTAATACGGGAAAATGACGTTTAATAATGAATAAACAAAAGAACAATCAAATTTACAAACACAATTCTCGTCATGGTCATCTATGTGGTTCATAACGTGCCACACATCACTAATTATCAAAGCAAATTAATAACAATTGATATCTTCAATAAGGTACAATATATATATACACTGACTGAAATCAGGATTTCAAAATGTAATTAATGAGTTGTCTTGGTTGGTCGATTGCTATAGGTAATGCTGGCATGTTGATGGTTGGTTGATGGTTGTGTAGGTGTGCTGAGTGAGAGGGGATGGCATGTACGAGTGCTCTGTAAAGAGTATAGAGTACCCCCCGGTTTGGAAGGGATTAAAATGTTTAGTTCAATGATTTACAAGTCGATGGATAGATGGATAGATGTGCATCTGAGATTGAAATACAAATACTGTACTGTGGAAGGAAAATCCATTCATACATAGACAGAGTCAGTAAGTAGTTGAAAAAGTGTAAGGAAGGAAGGAAGGAAGGAAAGTCTAGCTGGATTAAGTTTAATACTCGTGGATATTCTACAGTAATGGTAATGGTAATCACATCTCACATCTCACATCTCTCAACATATACAGGAGATTATAGAATAAAGTCAACTTCAACACCATGATATTGTCAATCAACGATCTGAGTTATCTACAAGTGATTTTCTCCCCTTCTGTCTGTTATCCTCTTCCAAAGCAGTTCTTCCCCCTCTCCTCTCTCCAACCATCTACCCATGCAACCCTTCTCCATCCCTATCATTTTCACGCGGCTCCCTCACCGATCCCAAAATCAAGTCAATAAACGTTCTTCATTTCTTTCTTTCTTTCCTTTTCCCTCTCCCATTCCATTCCAATCCCAACCCCCATCCATCAAAACACAAAACACCAACCCCAAAACTCAAACTCAAACTCAAACTCAAACCCCCAAAAGAAATAAAAAACAAAAGATAGAAAATAAAAACAAGAAGTCAAAGCCCAAATCCACGTCGAATCCGAATCCAGACATGAATAATAAATCCAGCTATCCCCACTAAAACAAAGTCCCCCAAAACAAGCAAGTTATACACAGAATTGAATCGAACTATCGAAGAAAAATCAAAGAAGAAAAGAAAAGAAAAGACTTTGCTTTATTGTTTTTAAACCCCCAATTTCATTCCCAAACCTAGGTAGGTAACCTTTCCTCCGGAAATGAAGTGATATGATATGAAAACACACCTAGAAAGAAAAACAGAAAGAAAAGTAGGTAAGAGTAAGATATATAAAAACAGGGCTGAATAGGTAGTATCTCCAAGAAAATATAGAGAAGGATAAGGATGAAGATGTTTAATAGTTTGGGTGTAAGTGTGATTTTGATTGTCGAAATGTAGCACTCGAGTAGATGATAATGTAGGGTTGCCGTCCGAGTGGTGGTTGAAATGTGAGGTGTATGAAGCATGTATCGAATATATATATATAGATATATGTCTGTATGTATGTATGCATGTATATATGTGTATCTGTATGCGTGTATATATGATTCGCACGTATATAGCAAGAAAGCCGTAATAGGTTTGAAAGTCTGGGGTTTTGGTGATGATGTGGAGGACTTGGAGGGTGGGGATAAATGATATGATCAGCTTTGTTGTGTGGTGAGGTGAGGTTAGTATCTTTTTGTCTTATTGAGAGGGAAGGGAGAATTCTATGCTCTGCTCCTTCAAATTGCAATGCCGTTGAACGAATGCGAATCTTTGAAAGGAAAAACTTTGTGTGTGCGCAAAGATATCGTTGGGATATGGGGGTGTGAAGAAATTTTCTTAAGAAGACATGTGAGAAGTTGCATATGTTCCCGGCATGGTAAAGCTTCTTTTCCGATTCTCTTTCCCTTCGAATTCATTAGATCGAAGATAAGATGAACCGTCGCTGTTGTTTCTCTGTGGTTGGTGGCTGCCAGGCTGTGAGTGGTCTTGACCATGTTGTTGTTCTTGACCTTGCGAGTTGAATTCTCGCTCTCCTTGAGGAGATCTTGATGCGTTGTACGCGTTCGAGAAATCTTGTGGAGGTGCCATTGGCGCACTTAATTGTGGATGATTTGCGTCGCTTGGTGTTCGGGGGAGGGAGAATTCCATTGGTGCTGTTAGAGGTGCACTGGCGAAACCGGCCGAGTATGCCGATGCAAAGGGACGGGAAGTAGGAGGTAGATGTGATGAGCCTTGTTGAGAGAGCGATCGGTATTGGTTGCGGAGGTCAAGACCTTGGGGGTATGAAGCACCGGTAGATGCTCGCATGCGGGACATGGCAGCTGGTGAAGAATGCTGTTGTAAAGAGGGTGGGGGATGCGATGGCGAGTAATTCATGTGTTGTGGTGAATGTTGAATATTGGAATCTATGAAAATAGTTAGTCTAAGATATCTTTTGATCTGCAATAATTGGACGAACTTGGATAGGAACTTGTCTCAAATTGGTGCGCATTGACCGCGTTGGTCTGCTCAGGCTGGTACATTGATTGTTGTCGTCCAGCTGACTGAGGACTCGGTTGTCCAGTCTGGTAATTGGCATAGTCTAAAGTTTCTCCTTTCCAGGACATGCTAGATCTCAATGGCGACTGTAGTGATTCTGATCGCGATCTTGACATTGTCTCTCGAAGTTGTAATGGTTGTAATGGTCGACCATTGTGATGCCTTGGCTGAGAAACTGCCTGATAGCCCCCTTGTCGATCAAACGGATTCGAACTTCGTGGCCCTGAGCTCATCGGACTTGAAAGATGGCTGGAAAAATATCGATCAGACGAAGTAATAGACAACGGCGATAGAACGTCGGGTGTGCCAATTGAACTTCCTGGAGTAAATCCACCATGTCCTGGATATGCAGGACTCATGCCCGTGGGCGACATATGGTCATCGTGTTCATGTCTGCGCATCGTGTCTACCATCAAAGGTCGTATCATATGATCTGCGTAATTTGGCACATACTCGACAGGCGATTGCATTGGTGCTCCAATGCCGTGTACAGCCCCGTAAGGAGAATGAAGAGCCTGTACGTTGTCGAAGTCGTCCGGTACCGCCCTCATCTTCATCATTCGTTCTCGGTCATCCGCAGTGAGTCTCTTGATCTTTGCGCGTCTACTTCCGTTAGTCCATGCTCTTTGTTCACACTAGAATGAATGCATTTCACATACCGGTTCTGAAACCACACCTGGACTTGTCTAGGACTGAGGCCTGGGATTTCTCGAGATAGTCGCTCACGATGAGCAGCATCTGGATGCGCTTGCTTTGCGAATTCACTCATAAGGAATCGAGTCTGTTGGTGAGTAAGACTAGGCAATTCATTAGTTTTGATGTCACAATACACGATGTGAATGGCAAGGCCAACATACCGAAATCTTTTCATCTTCCTACGTTCCGCTCTTCGTTCTGCTGCGGTCTGGGTCGTTGAAGAAGCACCATCTTCAGTATCTAGCATATCGTCGTCGTCGTCAACATCGTCATCTTCTTCCTTGGGATCTGAAAGAGCTCCTCCGTCCTCATTTACGAGTGCTCCTGCTCCCTGCTGTTGTGAAGGTGCACTAGACGCGGATGATAATGGAATTGATGCTATCGATCCAAGAGGAAGCGGCGCTGATTCTGTGGAAACCATGGATTCGTCGTGAGCTCTGTTGGCGGTGGATTGACCACAATCTCCCGGTGCTGAGTCTGCTCGTTCTATAATAGGGGTTGGCGAAGCTTCTGGTCTCAGCGGACCAAGTGCGCGTCGGTGCTCTGAAGTCGGTCTGGCAATAGATTGCGGTTGACTATTGTTGATGTTCGAGCTCGCAGGGTGCTCGTAGTTTTGATGAGCTATGCCATTCTCTCCAGAGAGTTGGTACGAAGAGTACTGTTCTCGCCAGTCCGGCTGTGGTGGCAAAGCCTCAAAGTTCGACATCCGTGGAGATGCGAAGTTAGCAGACCCAAGTTTACTAGAGGACCAAGTGTTCCGTCCTGTATCGCATTGCCGTGTAACAAGCATTGAGAGTATTTGTTATGTGACCGTCGAAGAAGGTCTGGAAGTTTGTTCTGGGGATTCTTCAAGAGCCCTTGTTTCGAGAAAGTGAAGTTTAGGTCGTGTTATCGAAGTGACAAGTAGCCGTGAAGTGAACGAGTGTAAGGGCTGCTATAGACAATGGCTGATCACTGACCAGAAAAGAACATAAGGCCTATCGAAGGCAAGTGATTGTTGAGTCTAGTAGTATCAAGTCTAGTCCTGCTTGATGATTGATGATTTTGGAGGAGTCGGAACGTTGTGCAAAGCTTATTCCTGTAGCTACTGATCGATGGATAAATTAATCCGAAGGGTCTTGGTCAAGATTTACTAAATAAGGTTGATTGATGTATGGACCAGTCCCAGGGATATAAAAGAAAGGTTTTGAATGTCTTGGTGGACAAGCCGAACGCGTATACCTTCCAGAAGATTTGCTACTTTGCGAGTCGGTAATAAACGACTCTATCGTGGAGAAAAGAAGATGAGGCGACCTAGTTCAAGGATAAGCTAGCCTCAACGAACGGATGTGGCGAGTGTCCTGCGTCGTCCAAATGAAATATAAATTGCTCTTGTTTTAATGACGTGCTAGATCTTTATAAGAATAAGGGAGAGAAGTTGAAGGGGGTCGTTGTCTTTCTTTCCACGTTCGATCGACAAGCGTCGGATGATATATGATATATAAGTTCCTTGATTATGATCACCACAGCAAGGACACTGGACCCGAGAAGCGCCCTATCACCCCTGTTTCTCTCGATTCACATGAAGTCCCTATCGTTGCAGCAGAATGCCGCTGAAGGAAATTGTACCGATGACAAGAGTCTAGCATGCAGGCGGAGCGGAGTAGTGTCAAAATACCCACCTCGACTTGATACAGGGCTTGCACGGTTGCGTCCAGGATTTTGGGACGAGATTTAGGGAGAGTTGCACAAGCTAAAGTGGATGAAGAAGTCAAGGTTGGAGGGGAATGTTTTTAAACGCACGAGGACATTCAAAGTTAGCCACAGGCAGACAGACCAAAAAGATGATAACAACAAAGCGTGAAACGATTCAATGAAACGATTTTGTGTATGAAGCCCCCCTGTGGCTCTTGAGAGAATTGACAAATGGAAACGAAGCTGCAGCGAAATGCTGGATAGCACTCTATCGAGAACTGTGCAGAACGTTGGATAAGATGAATGTGTGACTGGGTTGTAGGGATCTGGTGCCGGCGCAATCATCCGATACTCAGATGAAGCATCCAAATGGACCAACAGGAACAAGTTAAAATAACAGCATGGCTCCGCAGCAATGGTGAGTTGTATCGATCTCAACTAAGCCTGATGTAGGAGAGCTTGAGAGAACAACGGATATGACAGGGGACGAGCGGAGAGATCGAGGCTGGGTCTCTTTTACACGGATCATTGGTCTCCATTTTGCATGAAAAGGGTGGAGGGATGTGGGTCAACTTACAACCGTTGTCGCTAATAGATATCACCCAATGAAGATCTATGAAGACATGGGGGGGGGGGGGGCCAGACTGGTTATGCGAGTTGTGACTTGACAACGTGATGACCCTGCCGCTTATGAAAATTAACGCAGACAAGAGGGTGGAAAAGTCAAATACAAAACGCGAAATCCCTAGATAATGCATATTTATTAGCCTATTTCAGTTCGAAAACGGACAGATTACAATACTAACGAGGTAGTTGACGGGGACGGGACACTGTAAGAGGATGAATCAATGGGGGTTATTCTCGGTACTTTTGAGATCATCGTCAAACCTTGAGATGTTATGCTTATTTTCTCATCAAAAGGCTAAAATCTGCTACAAAGTCCATAGATAGTCTCGAATGTTGTTTTGACGTGTGCACTGTGTTTGTGGGAAAGGTCCGGACGCTAGCGATGAATGGTATTGTGTGAGTTTGATGCGTAATCCTATGGAACAATGCATTGTTCATTTCATAAATCTGATGAACTAGGACTGCCGTTGAGTTTTGACGATGGGTGATGCGAAAATTGGAGCTAGTCCCCGTACTAAGAGAAAACTAGATGTCAAGAAACTTACTCAAGAAGCTACTAATAATAAAAATAAAGGACCTTCTAATTGATACCTGGTATCATTTACCTGAGTTGATTGTATGACGGGATGCTAGAAAGGCTAAAAGTCCGTCAAAAAAAATTATTTTTTGGAAAATTGGCGGGTAAGGTTTTACGGACTGACTAGGTTCTTATTCGTTTGGTAGACATTCTTGGTAAGGGTCTTGTTCAGCGACAGAGATAGAGAGTTTCAAGATGACTGGGATTGATTTGTGAATTCCATGCTATGCTGGTCATTGTTAATTCTCAAAACCTCCGAAGGAAATGAACAAGTCTAGATACGAAGGTACAGTACTCGAGGTCAATGGCTTGTAGACGTTGTCAAATAGTCCCAATTGAAAAGACTGCATCCCTTCTTGTTGAACGATGTTGATTAACACTTTTCGTGAATAAGAATTCTTTTGACATGTTCTATAAGTATTCCAGAAACACGTAGCTTTGACCCTATCAAGGCACATCCACTGTTTCTTCAGGGTACAAGCTTGCAAGTTGATTTAGTTGAGAGGAAGTATTCGAATAGTTTCTCAAGATTATTGATTCGTGGAATATTTCAGATACTCAAGGCTCGAAAGATCCAGAGAAGCCGGGTAATTAGCTCAAACTTGAATCATTGCCTAAGTGGGAAAAAGTGCCGAGTAGATATAGGAGTTGAAACAGCCCCTTAAGCAACTATTATCAGATTAGATCCTCTACGAGTAGCATCAAATCACCACATCTTCACAATATTACTGGGTTCATTCACTCATTTCACATTTATCATAGGCCTCAACTTACCTGGTTGAAATCGTTTGGGTATCTAGGAATGCATTTCCTTCAAACCCAGGTTCATCTGGCCAAAGTCTGTGCATTAACACATCCCGCGTTTATGTTTATAATACCGCAAATATGTATCCATTAACTACAATATTAGTCCGAGGTTACTTGATCCTCAGTTTCCGTGGAGCCTCCACTCTCTCCAGATACATATCACACCTATTATTTTGTACTACTACATACCGTGACATTACCAAAAGCCTAAAGGTACCGTACAGTCGGAGTTTTCCCCTCTTACATCCTGTACGCAGCTTTTAAATCTTTCTTTCCTTACACCACGAGTCTGCGACACGCTACGAATTTACACAACCTAGGTGGATGATAATGGTAACTTTGCGCTGGTTAGTTCTTCCAATCAGCGCACAAGTTAAACAGCCAATTCGGGCCCGAAGCATTAGAGTCTACTCCCTGGTCGAAAATTTGCTACAGCACAAGGTAAAATGCGTAACGCAACAATCAGAAAAGGCTACCTTTGGTACCCCTCATGTATTGTACATCCTCAGCCTGATCACAAATCACAGCATTCTTCAAGATCCCGCCCTTGCCCCGGCAAGATCTAATAAGTTTCTAGTTGCCAATGGAGTTTTTAGGAATCCCGAAGTGCGGCTACCCACATTACCCCTTCATTCTCTCGTCTCATGCTGCAACGATTGAGTCCACAGTCAAATTCTATCTTCACCAACTGATAAAAAGCTTATATGTTTACAAAACATTGCGAATCTATACTTGGTCAGCTTACGAGTCCGCAAGCTCTTACCGCTGCTTCTAAGGTATCGCACGATTCGTCGTTGATCAAGCCTCAATTGCCAATATTCTCCAACAGCTACTGTTTTGCATTTCGTATCAGCCTTATGAACAAAAATTCATGCCTTTCATGAGCAAAGAGGTTGAAATTGCTACAATTGACGTGATCGGTGGGGTATCATTTTTTAAAGTAGGACAATAATCGACATGTTGAGACATCAATGATGAAGAGATGAACAATTAAAGGGCATTTAGCCTAATTTTTTCGCATCATGCATTACATTACCTCTTGACTACTTTGATGATAAGGTTCCTCATCGAGGTATCCTGGTATCAGATCATGGCTGGACTCGACGGCACAGGCATTTTGAACCTCCCAGGGGTAGCTTTCTACAGCCCTCATTACTACAACTTATAAATATGGACCATTCAAAATCGGACAATTTCTGCTCGGAACAGCGACAATACAATATAGCAGCAAAACAAGAACGTGTAGGCTGATGACGGCGAGGTCCATTGTGGATACTGTATGACTGACGGAGGGATCATGTATGTTTTATATAATTTTTCAAGATTTTCTTTAATTCTTGAGAATCCACCGATCCGTTAAGTCACCGTGACAAGTAGTCAGCGAAACATGCGGTGCTCTCGATATTCTCCAAAAGTATTTTTGTACCTACCCGACGTAACACGTAGCCCACACCTTGACGGGAATGTGCTTAAGCAACAGTGACCGGACCGTAGGGACGGTACCCGTGGTGAGAAAGAGACATGAATGTATGGATGTGAGAAAATCTTCTAAAAATGTTGATCTTTGCTGCCATAATCACATTACTGCCTGCGTATACTAGCGGTAGTAAGAATTGCAGGAGCGAGAATTGGAGAAAGTTGAATACGCACATTCAAATTTCACAGTCATGCATGCCTACCGCTGCATCGCTACATAATTCCTCGACACTCATGGCAAGACGAAACTGGAGGCTCTTCTGACAAGGGCAATAGGAAAACTCAGGAGAGATTCGGGGGGGGAGGGGGAGAAATGGAGACGAGTTAACATTTACGCCCGCACGATTCCGGAAAGGAGATGGGGGAGATTGATAGAAGAAGGAGAAGTTCCAAGTGTTTTCTAGGGTATCCAGCTAGAGGAAATAATTATGGATACTTTCGTATTTAGATCATTTTTCGAACTTAAACTAAGCAAAACAATTGGTGGAGTAAATGCAGGTACGACCGCCGATTAGGTCTAACGAGTATTAATATATCAAAAAAGATGAAACAAACTTCGAATCTAATCCCACTTATTTGATTTCCTCTTTTGGTAATTTCAGAAAGGCATTCAAAACAACTCATCTTAA